CTAGGTCACAAGGATGTTGAGACATGCTTTCACCATAAATGAGGTGGTCTCGCTTGTGAGATTTAGAAAGTTTCAGGGTTTGTCAGTTTGCTTTGGAGAACTGCATGGTTATTTCTAACTCGCTATATATTACAGAAGACAAATTTTGTGTGGTCAGCAGGAAAGTAGAGGTGACGAAAACATGGGTCTCTTCTGTCATTCTCTTGGGCTTTCTTTCTCCTACTTATTCAAAGGATAATCATTAGGTGTTGATGGATACAGTCCATCATGGTGGGAAAGGCACGGCAGCCGGAGCATGAGGCTGGCTTGGCAGTCGGGAAGCAGACGGACCACATTGTGTCCATAACAGGGACAGTACAGACTTCCAGCTGAAAGAGTACATCTAAACTCAAAGATCCTGCTGCAGCCCTCAAGTGTGGCTTATACCATGGGAGCATCCTTATTTGAAATGTCCGTGTAGAAGGAAGGGTACACAGGTGCATGTAAAGGAGACTGTGCAATGCCTGAGTAGAGAGAAAACTATAAAATGTCCGTGTAGAAGGAAGACTCTGTGTAGGTCATCTTCACAGCAAGTTTCGTAACTTGTGATGGACCTCTTGACTCTCAGCTGGTGAGAAACTTCAAACAGACTGAGATGAGGTGCCCCATCCTTCTTCATGGGCCCTTACTGTTTCCTCCTTTCTTCCTTTCTTCCTTTTAAGAGCTTGCTATATAGGCCAGGCTGGCGTCAAACCTGCAGTTGTTCTTCAGTGAAGGAGACCAGAGATTTTTTTTTCCTTAAGGAGTCCTGGACAGGATTAAAGGCTGGTAATATAAAAACACAGGCAGAGGCTGGGCCCCAGATCATCCTGTGCCCCTAGAGCCTAGAACATGGCTCTCCACTGGCCCCACAGCAAACATTCATAGAATTGCTGGCCTGAGCAAGAAGCATGGGGACAGAGCCCAGGCTGTCTGGTCCTGCCCACAGTGGAAGCCAGTGTGTACCCACAGTCCACCTGGGTCAATATACATATATCCAGGGTCATGTCTTGGCAGAGTTCCAAACACTGACGGTTTAGTCTAGCCTTGAATATAATCAAACTGATTCTTCAAAGTAGAAAAACAGATCCACCAGAGGCAAAAAACACAGAAGTAAACTGCTACACAAGCTCATGGAGACACAGGACCAACTGCCTCGCTTTAGACACAACCCATATTAGCAAGATTAAGGTTTGTTAGTGACTCTTGGTAGCTAAGGCAGTATCAGTTGACCCAGGCCAGGGACTACCCTACATAGCCTCACCTAAAAAAGGCTAACCATTGGCTTACAGCAAATGCCTGTCACCAGAGGCTGCCAATCAACTGCAGAACCACCTGACCCTCAGCTCATAGGCTGGAGTCTAGAGAACCAGAAGCCAACTGGAGGGAAACTTGCGCTCAGGCTTGCTGAACTGTGAAGGTCAGGAAACTGAACTTACTATCAGTGGTAGATGGCGAGGCATGCTGAAAGCCAGTGGACAGCCAGAGCAGGATTACACACGGCACCATGGCCTCCTATGCTGTCTTTTTCTTTCCTTTCTCCTAGTACTGAGGATTGAACTGGAGACCCTGTGCATGCCATACAAGCTCTCTAACACACACACACACACCCCTACCCATCTTTTTTACTTTTTGCTTTGAGACAGGGTCTTACTAAGTTGTCCAGGTTGGCCTTGATTTTTTAATCTTCCCACCTCAGCCTCCTAAGTAGCTGGGATTACAGGCATGTGCCACCAGGCCCAGATTCTACCCCCCCTCTTTTTTTTCCTCTCAGGAACAAATGAAAGTATTTGGAACATCGCTTGGCATAGGGTGACCTTGCAGAAACTGGTCCTCCCAGCCTCTAAGACTATGTACTTGGTGTATGCTAGTTAAAGAGCTGAGAAGGGGGAATGAATGGCAAGCTCACGGGGCTGAGTTGGTGAGAAATGGATCTGTCCTTCCCCACTCCCTTCTGCTTAAATCTTGAGGGGCTTGTCATTCATTTTTATTATTTTTCTGTCTGGGTTTCTGTCTGTGTGCCTGGTGCCCACTGAGGCCAGATCAGGTGTCAGATTCCCTGGAACTGAAGTTACAGGTGGTTGTCAGCTGCCATGTGGGTGCTGAGACCCCAACGTGGGTCCTCTGGAAGAGCAGCAGCCAGTGCTCTTAACCTGGAACCATCTCTTCAGGCTCTTGTCATATTCTTTTCAGAAGATGTTATATCTTTCCACAATAGCAAGGTTTATCTGAGGCTTGCTTATTTATTTATTTTGTGGAACTGGGGGAGGGGATCAAACTGAAGGGGTCAGATTTGCCTTGCGCATATGTTCTCCCACTGAGCCATATCTCCATCCCTCATTATTATTATTTTTAATTAAAGGTTTTTAAAAATTATTTTATTGCCAGGCACATGCCTTTAATCCCAGCACTTGGGAGGCAGAGGCAGGCAGATCTCTGAATTCGAGACCAGCCTGATCTACAGAGTGAGTTCCAGGATAGACAGGGCTGCTAACAAAAGACTGCTAAGACATGGGTTTAAGCCAATAGAAAGCCTTTATTAGCCAGCCAACAACTACACTGAGTATTTGTGATCCCACGGTAGCACCAGGCCTTTCTCAGGGTGAGCTTTTAATCACAAAAACCATGTTCTAGGTTGACATACTTCAGTTAGCAAGAGCAGTTAGCCAGAGCAAAACCAAGAAACCCAAAATCAAGGTTAGTACATTCAGAGACTTCCCCAGAACTACGGACTGTGATGGATCAGGCCTTTGTTTTAGTTTTGGCAGGTGGTGCTGTCTTCGTGCTGAGTTTTACAGCCTGAACGGCACTTCCATCATGGAGTCAGTTGTGCTAAGGTGTGGGGGCTGTTACAGATATAGAGACAGTGTCTCATGTGGCCCAGGCTGGCCTTGAACTCACTATGTAGTTAAGGATGACCTTGAACTTCTGATCCTCCTGCCTCCATCTCCCTGGGATTCCAGGTGTGCACCACTGTGCCCACTTTACGCAGTGCTGGGGACAGAACCCTGGGCCTAATGAATGCCAGGTAAACACTCTTACCAAATGAGCTGTACCTCCAACTGTCTTCAGGCCCCTTTACAGTTGTTCACCCCTGGAATACCCCCAGCCTGGACCACTATGTTGTCTTGCCCACATCAAGCTGCATCCTGGGCAGCCTTCATTGCCCCCAAGACTCAGAGGTCCTCACTCCCAGCCTCTGCCCTGTACCTTGATCTTTCACCTCGCCCACCCCAGGAGCTACCATCACTGCCAGTACCCTGTGCTGTACCACCCACATCCACCCCTGAGGCTGAGGCACCACCCACATCCACCCCTGAGGCTGAGGCACCACCCACATCCACCCCTGAGGCTGAGGCACCACCCACATGCACCCCACCCCCACCAGGCTGAGGCACCACCCACATCCACCCCTGAGGCTGAGGCCCTCATTCTAGCCCGGAGCTAGAAATCAGTGGCCCTCTGCTGAGCCCCGTTTTAGAACTTGGCCTTAAAGACAGCCCGCTCTCCTAGGAGTCACGCCATCCTTGGTCAGCAGATAGCTCATGACTGACAAAGATCCTTCCTCCAGGTAACTCTGGGTGCTTTCGTCCTGAGCTTCCTGACAGCTAGGGGAGGTCATCCTTGCAGCGGACTCTCTGGTTACCTTCTGCTTGCCTGGTCATCTTTTCTGACCCCGCATTAGGGTTGTCTGAAATCAGGGTCCTCATGTCCCAAAATGGCCCCCAGAGAGGCTGGTTCACAGCACCCAGTGACATGGTCAAGGAGCCAGCCTGGGAGCAAAGAGACCCCAGCTACCTTGAGCTCCGTGACCTGGGCCATTACATGGCTTTCTCACGTAACTGCCTTTGGCTGGGTCATGGGAAGAACAGGAAGCAAGAGTTTGTGTCTCTGAGGTGTGGTGAGGATAAAAGGAGACCGTGTGTGAGATCCCGAGAGAGCACTCAAAAGCTACCCGTCAGCGCCATCTGACTTCTCTGAGGCACCAACAAACGTGGATCAGCTGCCTCTCTGTGCACCATGCTGGTGAGAATTAAAACAGATTGAAATCTCACTGGGCTCTGGCCTGTAATCTCCTCAAGCTGCAGGTGGAGGCAGAAGGATCAAAGGTTCAGGGTCCTCCTCAGCTACACAGAGTCTGATCCTGTCACCCCCCACCCTTCTGACTCCCAACCCCCTTACTCCCCCACAGTTCAACTGATAGGAGGTACCAGGTTACAAGCTGTGTTGCTGAGACCTAACGCAGACTCCTGGGGTCACATTTCCAGGGATTTTGCCCACCCTAGGGCTCTGGTGTGGAGGCTGGGACCCTCCCCCAACTGGAGAGAATCGCTGCAGCTGCCAGGAATCCCCACCTGTGTGTTGGCCTCAACCAGCACCAGCTTCTCTGCAGTTCAAGCACCTGCCTCCAACTAAAACCACAGAGCCCAGCAGCACCTCCTGGAGGCTCTAGGGGAGGATCAGTTTCCCGCTTGTTCATTTCTGGTTGCTGGCCGGATCTGGTCCTAGGACTGTCCATCAGCATCTCCATTCTCTTGCTGGCTGTATAAAGCTCAGCCTAGAGGCCACCATCTTCATTGTTTGTGGGAGGATTTAGGGTATGTGTCTCTCTAATCACTTGATTTGAGGACTCTGATATTAGGCCCACCTCCATGATCCAAGTACCTTAGCGTCCTCTGTCCCGAGGTCCTCTGTCACACCTGCAAAGTTACTTTTGCCAATAACAGAACGGGGACCAGACATGGTGGTACATACTTTTAATACCCCACCCCCACCCCCACCAACTCTTGGGCAGAAGCAAGCAGATCTCTGTGAGCTTGAGTGCAGGCCTGGCTACGCAGTGAGACCCTGTCTCAGAGAAGAGACTAGGTGCTGGGAACGAGAGCATGGGCACTGCGAGGGCACTGCGAGGGCACTGCACTGCCTGTGCAGCCACCCAGGCTGGGAACAGCTCATCTCACACCCAGGCCCTCTTTGTGCAGGGAGAGGTGTGTGCGGCTCCCTGCGCTGCCGGGACCTACGGTCCCAACTGCTCATCCGTATGTAGCTGTAGCAATGGCGGCACCTGTTCCCCTGTGGATGGTTCCTGCACCTGCCAAGAGGGTAAGTCTCCCTCCAGCTCCGTCTCCAGGCTCAGGTGTGCCAACAGCTGAGGGGCTCAGGTGGGACTGCTCAAGCCCCGTCACCACTCAGGTTCAAAGAGTTTGTGCAGGTCAGATTACAGCCAAGGAGAGCCAGAGCTGGAACCAGGAGACTAGGAGTGTAGGAGAGTCTCCTTCTGGGTTTGGAATTGCTGAGAGCATGGAGAGAAGGTGAGCCACATGGGCTGCAGGGACAGAATGGGGAGACTGAGTTCCCCGGGCCTGTATGACTCAGCTGGTGGAAGCTAAAAGGACTTTGTGGAGGTACTAGTGGTCCATAGGGACATAGCCACTGCCGAAGGCCCCGTGCACACCGGGTATGCTGGTAGACACCTGTAATCCCAGCACTTGGGGTGCAGAAGTAGGAGAAATTGTAGTTCTGGATTAGCCTGGGCTACATAACGAAATGCTCTCTGAAATAACTAAGGAGGGTCCAGCCCAAGACAAGGAGAGAAAAGGGTGCACCTGGCTCCTTTCCATTCTGGTTTTGGGGTCGGGTCTCCCTCAGGAAGCCCACCTGGAGGTAGCAGCTGGGAAGAAGGGGTCTGCAGTCCTCAGGGGTAGCCTCCTGCTTGAGGGAACACAGGAGGGAGAGTTTTGGTCCTGGAGGCAGAAACAGTGACAGACTTCAGAATGGAGATGTGCCGCTGAACCCCACCCATGGCCTCGGTGCGGGGAGGACACCCCCAAAGGCCACTCCCCTGATCCAGTGGGCCCATTTCCAGGCAGCATAAATGGTGTGAACCCTGTGTCAGGGACGGAGATCTAGGCAGCTGTGGTGACAGGGATGCTGGGGAAGCGGGCAGAAAGTCATGCTGGGCATGGCTAGGTGATACCTTTTGCCCTCTCCCCAGGGTGGCAGGGCCCGGACTGTTCCCTGCCATGTCCCAGTGGGACGTGGGGCCTGAACTGCAATGAGACTTGTGTCTGTGCCAATGGGGCAGCCTGCAGCCCCTCTGACGGCTCCTGTGCCTGTACCCCAGGCTGGCTGGGGGACTCCTGTGAACTGCCTTGCCCGGTGAGTACCCACCATGGTCCCTTGTGCTTTCTCCCTGGAGGTGGGGGCGGGGGCTACACAGTCCACAGAGAAGAGCTCTGAGTCAGGAAGTGTTAACCTCTGTGTGGCCTCAACACTCCTATCTATAAAATGGCCACTCGGACTTCAATGCTTTTCCCAGTGCTGCTCTTGGTAAGCAGATTGACTGGAAGCTACAGAATCCACCCCACCAAGGCACTCTCAGTCCTCCAAAGCAGCAGGACGGCCATTTCTGGGTAGTATTTGAGTTGCGGTCTGGTCACTACTAGGGATGGGGCATGAAGCCAAGCCATTCAGCAGCAACCCCAACTCAAGCACTGAGCCTTAGGCTGCTAGACCAACTGATGTGAGACCCAGCATGGGATTTATCCTGCCTCCTCAAGTGTGTTTCTCCAGCTGCTTCCCATTTTTAAAGTGACACTGGGTGGCGCCATTCCAGAATATTGGTACAAGAATTAAGAGAACAGGGCACAGTGGGCGCTTGAGACCTCGTGAGCATGTTTCCTTCCCCAGTGACAAATGTAGGCGCTCCTCATTCCATGGGTGGGACAGTCGTGTCAGAATCCACCAAGTATGTTTTGTTTTGTGAGACAGGATCTCTTGAGCTCATGGCAATCCTGCTTTAACCTCCCAACTGCTGGGATTACAAGCAATCCCCGCCCCCCTCCGCCATGCCTGTCAACAACAAAGTGTATTTTAATCTACAATTTGAATGACCACCTGGAGGCTATATTGAAGACAGAGCAGGGCCATCATTATTTCCCTCTCCCGTTCCTGTTAATACAGCCAGATGGTCATTTGGAGTGACTTTTCCACAGCCCTGTTGGTCCCCAGTCACACAGCGTCATGGCTGTGCCCTAGTCCCATCTCTGGATCCCTGAAGAGCTGATGGAAGGGGGTGAACCTCTAGGAGCCTAGGTATGATCATTTTTCTCTGCCTCTTCCCCGAAGGATGGCACGTTTGGGCTGAACTGTAGCGAGCGTTGTGATTGCAGTCACGCCGACGGCTGCGATCCTGTCACAGGCCACTGCTGCTGCCTGGCAGGATGGACAGGTAACCTCTGCCCTGCCACTGCCCAGGCCCTGTGAAGCCAGGCTCTCTGTCTTCCCTCTCTCCTCATGCCTATTCATCTGTCCCTTTCTTCCTGCCCCCAATGCGCACCTCCCCTCCACCCGCTCCCTTTCAGCCCAGATCTCTGTACAGAGATCTTTATTAAAAACACACAATGTTAAGGCTTTGTTTTCAGGACAACACATTTCAAGGCTGACAGGTGCTCAGCCTGTGTATAGAGAACACGGCACTTCAGAATCTCAGTCCTTACATCTATCCCACATAGGGCAAACCCTGCTACTTCTCTCCAGCCCATTGATACTACGGGCCCCTACCTTCACCTCCTGGTTGGTCTCATGCCGTCCATCTTGCCCAGGCGAATACATTCTGCACATAGTGAGCAGAGGGAACCTATAAACCAGTCTTTCACTTCTGTGGCTTGATGGAACTCATGTAAAAAAAATCTAAGATCATTGCCAGATACAGTGGTTCACACATGTAGTCCCATCTGGAGAAAGAGGCAGGAGGATCAAGAAGTTCAAGGTCATCCTTGGCCACATAGCCAAATTTAAGGTTAGCCTGGGCTACATGAAACTTTGTCTTGAAAAAAAAATAACAACAACAAAAAAATCCAGAATTCTTGTCATAAGGTCCCACCTCCTGTGATGTGGGCCTGCCCAACTCCTCTTTTCTGCCCTATTTCCACCACTCAGTCATTCCAGACACCTAGGCCAAAGTAAACTTTATTTATTTTATTAAAGATGGATCTCATTGTGTTGCTGTGTCAAGCCTGGAACTTACTATTTATTTAGCCCAGTCTGGCCTTGAACTCTGTGCATCATCTCCTTCTTCAGCCTTCCAAGTGCTGGGATTGGTTTAGAGGCAAGCCCCACCATGCCCTGACGACCGTCCTGATTCCTCAGCTCTGCACCTGCCCTCTTCCCCTCTCTTGATAGCTCTCCATCTTACTCCGTAAATCCCCTTTCTCTTCTTCATGTAAAGAGCTGGGCAAGTGTTGCGGCAGTGGGTCACACCCCCAGTCCTGATAATTCTTTCTCTTATGCCAGATTTCGAGTGGAAGGTTGTCTATGATTACCTGCCTGGGACTAAAGAGCCCATTTATGAATTCTGGTGACCCAAGTCCTTCCTCTGTAACACTCACCACACTAGACCTGGGACTCTGGTTTGAGTGACTCTTTGCATAGCAGCCCTAGGAAGGCATCTGCCTTACTTACCCCCATACCTATGGTCTGCTACACGCTGAGACAATTAAACTAGGTTGCTAAGAACAGAACCCAGCCAGACTGCCTGGGCTTGTAACTTTGGCAAGTCCTCTACTTTACATGGCCTTAAAGTCTCCACCCATAAAGCATAGACAACTGGAATCCTCACAAGCAACCTTGGGGCCACTTTGAAATTTCAGTGAAGGGTACTGTGAGCTGCTCAGCACCTGGCACCCGGTGGCCAGTGACAACCCACAGCACAGGAAGCTTTCTGTAGCAGTGCACACGTCAGTGACCACTGGCTGATGATCCCACTGCTTTCCAGCTGTGGACATTCTCAGTATTCACTCTGCTGGATTCTCCCCACCTTTATTCGGGCAGCCAAAGGCCAAGGACATTCCTCTACAGCATGTCAGGTTGAGGGTCCCCTGCCAGCTACCCCTCAGTGTGGACCAAGGCTCCAGCCTTCACATTGTCCCCCTACGCTGTCAGCTACAGCCAAGTGGAGAGCTACTTGAAATCTTCATTGCCCTGATTTTGAGAGCGCTGGTCTGATCTTAATGACACCTCCTCCAAATTGGTCCTGCTGCTCTCCTTCACTCTCCTGTTGCTCTTTCTCGCAGCCCCTGTCCTTAGAACAAGTCAGACATGACTTTTAAACTAATCCTGTGCTGCCTGGAGCCTCTGAAGCTTACCTTCCAAAGACCGGCTGGTCTTCTGGGCCTGGTCTAATCACCTAGCACACGCACGTCAGACTGCCACTCTGCCTGGAAGGAATCCCCACCTTGACTTTTTAAAATTCTTTCTTAGCCTCCAGGCTGAAGCCAGCCCAGCTCAAATATTCTTTGAGCTCAGAGGGACTGTAGATCTTACCCCCTCTCTTACTGAGATATTCCATTCATTTCCCCATAGGTTGCTGTTTGTCAAATCGAGGATCGTTTATCAGCATGTCTTGGGGACAGCTAGCATTTTTGGCTTCTTTTATAGACGTGTATATGTGACATAAAATACGTGTGTATATAGGTACACATATTTTCTTTTGAGGTCTCATGTAGCCCTGGATAGCCTTGAACTTTCTACATAGCTGAGACTGTGTATTTCTTTTTAAATTAAAAATAAATCTGATAGAGATCATGAATGCATGTGTGTGTATGACAGAGTGGGGTTGTGTGTACCGCAGTGGAGGTCAGAGGGGACAACTCTAGAGTCCGTTCTCTCCTTCCGTTTTTACATGGATTTCAGAAATAGAACTCAGGTCCCCAGGTTTTCACACCAAGGACCTTTACCTGAGACGAACCTTCTCACTGGCCCAACCTGCTCTTGATGCCCGCCCGCTCAGCTGTGAAGGTGGAGGCAGCCTTTTTATCTGGTGCGGCCATCTCCTCTCTTGCTGGGCTCATCAAGCCTGCCACGGGTCTGCCACGGGTCTGCCACGGGTCTGCCACGGGTCTGCCACGGGTCTGCCACGGGTCTGCCACGGGTCTGCCACTGTGCTGTGTTCAATTCCAAGTGAGGCTGCCGCCTTTTGCCGTTTGCTTTCTGCTCCCATGATTGCCGTTGCCTGGTCAGTTCCTTTTGTCTTTGAGGACTCTGGAAGGGCATCACCTCCTCTCGGAAGCCCTCCCCTCTGGCCCCACCTCCACTGGGTTTCTCTCCATCTGCCTCCTGCCTCACCCCTTACCACTGATGCGCCCCTGTGTCTGGTCCACAGGCATCCGCTGTGACAGCACATGCCCTCCAGGTCGCTGGGGTCCCAACTGTTCAGTGTCCTGCAGCTGTGAGAATGGAGGTTCCTGTTCCCCAGAAGATGGGAGCTGCGAGTGTGCCCCTGGCTTCCGAGGACACTTATGTCAGAGAAGTAAGGCTAGGCCCCCACCCCAGGGCTTTCTGACTTCCCACCCACCCAGCCCCTCCCAGTCAGTAGTGCCGGCCTGTGGAAGGCTGGCCTGTGGGAGCCAGGCCCCTCTTCTCCCTCTGTCATGCACCTTCTTCCCCTACACTGGTTGCTCTGCCCCCAAGTTCAGGGCCCAGCCTCTCAGTAGAATCAGGGGTAGCTCACAGTTCCTCTCTTAAAAGGTGCGGACCTCCAGGTGTGGGGACCCCAGACTCCCCATTTTCAAGGAGCCTCTCTTCACTGGGATGGGGGATCAGAGAGGTGTCTAGGCCACTCCTCCCTACAAGCTTCTGACCACCATCTCCCTCTGATACCCTCAGTCTGCCCACCAGGGTTCTACGGCCATGGCTGCAGCCAGTCTTGTCCCCTCTGCGTGCACAGCAGCGGGCCCTGCCACCATGTCAGTGGCATCTGTGAGTGCCTGCCAGGATTCTCCGGAGCCTTGTGCAACCAAGGTACCTTCAACTGGTGGGAAGGCCAGGGCAGGGAACAAAGGGGCAGAGAGAAGGGAGGGTCCAGGGGGTCTCTTCCTACGCTGTTGGGAACTGAGCAGGATGTATGTGACATAAGTCACTGCTGCTGAAGGGACAGCCTCACAGGGGTTAAATGTCATGATTGAGCAGTACATAAGTGAAATAAGTCACTGTGCTGCTGAAGGGACAGCCTCACAGGGGTTAAATGTCATGTCTATGGTCTCACAGCTAGCAAGTGGCAGAAGCAAATGCACACTCCAGTATTCTGCTAAAAAGAAAGGTGAAAAAAATGAGCATGGTAGTACATACTCAAATAATCCTAGAACTTTGGAGGCTGAGACAGGAAGATTACATGTTCAAGGCCAGCCTGGGCTACTTAACAAGATCCTGTCTCAAAAAACCAAAACCAGGCCTGAGAAGGTTGCTCTGTTAGTAGTGTGCTTGCCTAGAGTATATGCGGCCTTGGGTTCCCTCTCCAGCTCTACATAAACTGGGTGTGGTGTCATATCTCCGTAAGCCCGGCACTCAAGAAGTAAGAGGCAGAAGGACGGAGAAGTTCAAGGTCATCCTTAGCCACACAGAGAGTAGGGGCCTAACCTGGGCTACATGAGACCCTGTCTCAAAATACATAACAAGCAAACAATAACAGGTGGGAACATGAAATGAGCATTGGTACATCCAGAGTGGCCCTGAGCTAGGGCTGTGTAGAATGCCAAGTAGTAAAGGCAGAGGCTCTGCGGGGCACAGAAATGGCCGTGGCCCAGTCTGTCATAGGCTACTATCTCCCATCAGGTCAACAGCACTCATGCCTGGCCCCACTCACCTCTCAGCTCAACCCCAGAATCTCCCTCAACATCAACTCCAGGGCTCCAGCACACTGTACAGGCGGTACTGAAGGGGCAGCAAAGCTTACTGTAGCATGCTCCCCCAGCCAGCTAGTTTTCTGGGGGCAGGCACCTGCCTTGCAGCATTTCCAGGGTCCCATGACATAAGCATTTCTGCTATGGCAAATGTCAATACCACTGTCCAAAACCCCCACATTAGCCACCAAGGGATGATAGGAGCTGGCCCCAGCATCTACCGTCCACGGCTCCAGGGGTGGCTCCTGAAGCCCAGGGCAGCGTGACAGTCGGAAAGGGTCCGGGGATTCTTAAGGATTTGGCTGGACTTTAGTCTGAAGAGTGGATAACAGAACCTGGGCATGCTAGGACAGAGCAGCAGGGAATGGATGGAAGACGCAGCAACCAGAGACAGGGGGTGGGCTAGGAAGGCAGGCTAGGGCTTGCTTCGTATGGCTTAGGACACGGCCTTGCTTAAATACTGGCTTGTAGAACTTACACGATAGTCAGGGAGAGTGAAGACATCTGAGAATAATGGGAGCTTAGAGCTAAAGGCAACTTCAAAGTCACCTAGGCAAGAATCTCACTTGGCCGGTGCTTAAATACGTCTCTTGACGAAGCGCTCACTACCTCCAGGGGAAACCATTCTTTCGATACATCATCACCAGTGAGCTGGGCTATTTTTAATATGCATGAATAGAAGTTTGACTCCATGATGTGTTGAGGTCATGAGAAACATATGTGACAGTTTCATTTGCTTGTAGCCCTCGTAGGATGGTTTAATCACCACCTGACAAGCTGAGGTTTATTTATTAAACATAGGAGACCTAGCCGTCAATAGAACCAGGCCCGGGCTAAATGAGGAGCTATGAAGCCCAAGCAGGAACCCTCGCCGCCCGTGTCGTCTGATTTATTGCCCGCTGGTCTAATGAGTATTTTCCACATATAGATCTAATGGAGTTTGCTATTAATGGCAACTGCCCTGGTTAAGTCTCAAACCTTGTAAAAAATTGAACTGACACTTTCTAATGACTGGCTTTCCAGTGAGTTACAAATTATGGACAGAGCTTCCCCAGAATCATTAAACATAGATTAAATATAACCCAATGTTTTCTTTTCACCAGCCCCCTCTTCCCCTTCCCATGCCTGACTCTTGATTCAGCTAAGAAGTCTTGCAATTAATGCATTAGACCGATCACATTAGCGGCTCTGTGGGTGAATTTGTCCGCCTTGTGTAGGGGGAGACTTCAAAGGGAAGACTGCCTTGTTAGAGCAGTTTAGTTGTGGGGTGAAGGCTGGTGGAACAGCTCCAGCACCCTGCTCCCCACCAAGCTGGTGGGCAGTCCTTTGCCTCAGCCAACAGGGGGTGCAAGGAAGCGACCTTTCAGGAGGATGGGGCTCAAACTGGAGCCTCAGAATAAAGCATTTCCCAGAGACAGGGAGGAGCCAGGGCAACAGGCAGTTTGGGAAGCGGAGGGTGGTGTCTGAGCAGCAAACAGGGACAGAGACCTACCTGGGAAGGGAAGAACAGAGCCCCTGATCAGCCAGCCTCCCTGTAGCTACTAACTGAGGCCTGAGGCCATTGAGTGGGGGCCCTTGTTCCATCCTAATGAGGAAACAGATCCAGAGGGTGGGGTGGGATGTGAAGGGCTTTGTTAAAATGTCCTCAGCGAAGAAAGAGAACTTCTTTGCTGTGTAATCTTGGACAGACAGTTTAACCTCTCCCTATGTGTTAAGGAAATTCAATGATAGGGACCAATGATGAAGACATTATCAAGATTAAGTGAACTAGTATTTGTGAATAAGTGAGTTAGTATTTGTGAAATGTTTTGATCAGTTTCTGGTGCATGTAAATGTCCTGTGTTTGCTGAATGTGCAACAGATCTAGGACCCACACCCAAAGCCTCAGGCAGAGTTGGGTCCACCTGCCTTCAACATCTGTCCCAACCCCTAGCCATGTTTGCAGAGGTAGAGACTACATGTATAGTCTGGCTACCCGGTGGCCACAGTCGGGCTGGGAAAGGGCTGGTAATGGGGGGCAGAGCAGTGGAAGGGAGGTGATGGCATCCCTTGTTTGAGACCTGAGCCAAAGGAAGCCACTCTCCTCCAAGAAATCAGTACCTAATTCATGGGGGCTGAAGATATGGCTCAGTGGGTAAGAAGGCTAGCTGTTCTTGCAGAGGATCTGAGTTCACTTTCCAGCACCCATGTCTGGCAGTGTTCAGCTGCCTCGAACTTTACCTCCAAGGGATCTGATGTCCTCTTGCCTTCACAGGCACCTGTAACATGTGCACATACTTGCACACAGATACATATAAATATTAAAAAAAAAACTACTCGTAGTCCTCTGACGATCACAGTAGTAGAGCCTTCCAGAATGTCGTGACTTCTAAGGCCTCCTCCTTCCTCCGTGCTCACTGGACAGTCACATACAATAGAAAACGAGACCACATCCCCCGCCCTTGCAAAGCTTAGGCCAGAGGATCTGGGGGAGAGATGGGAGAAGGGTGATGCCTGGCCCTGGTGGCTTGAGTGCCTGCTGTCTCCCCAGGCACTGTAGGGGGCACAAGAAGGGGCAACACTCGGGCTTGGCCTGAAACAGCTGTTAAGTCTCAGTAAGTGGAGAGTTCAAGGAAGAAGCTACTTGAAGCCTCAAATAGGAACATGGGCTGCCCAGAAGAGAGAAGATGGGTGGACCAGCTAGGACTAAGTTCAGATAAAATACAATAAAAAACCCCAAACAAGTGACTTGAAAATGATATACATTGTTTTGCTTACGTACTAAGAAAACCAGAAAGACCCAGAAGCAGGCTGCTGGGGACACTAAGGCAGCTGACGAGGATGTCAGTGTCTTAAGGCTTGCTCCATCTTACTGTTCCAAGGTAGGTGACAATTAAGCTGAGTCTTATAGGCAGAACATCCACAGCTGGACTTGAGGGTCAGAGGAATTTAGAAGGCACTAGCCATAGGTAAAGCACAGAAGAAATGCCTGGAGTACCCTTAGAAGGAGGTGTGTGGTCCAGTGACCCATGTGTCCAGGAGGGTAGTCAAGGATAACCCAGGGGAAAGCAGAAGCCTGCGAGGTAGTCTAGGAGCACTGGGTTGAGAGTCCAGAGATGCCATCCCCATCTTACCACTTCCTATCTGTGAGACCCAAGACAAGCGATGTCCTCTCTATGGGCCTCAGCCTGTCCCTGTCAAAGGAATCAGAACAGGGCCTCTTGGGGTGCTGCTGTGGGAGGGGCACTCTATGTGATGGAGTATGACCTACCACTGCAGGTGCTGGGTCCCATCCAGATCATGGCTCTGGCCTTGGAACCTCTTGGGGTGCAGCTGTGCGGGTGGTGGCTCTTAGAGCCTGGGAAAGAAGGCAGATGCCAGGCTTCCATGTGCCCACAGTGTGTACTGGAGGGCACTTTGGGCAGGACTGTGCCCAGCTGTGTTCCTGTGCCAACAACGGGACCTGCAGCCCCATCGACGGCTCCTGTCAGTGTTTCCCTGGGTGGATCGGCAAGGACTGCTCACAGGGTAAGCTGCTGCCCCTGCAAATGCTCCTCTGTCTGTCATGGTGCCTCCACCCACAGGGCTGAACTCTCCTGGAGGCAAGAGCATCCACCCGAGACCCATGTATGTATCTGTGTTACTTCTGTGTGTTTGATGTGTGTCCCAGGGCTACAGCATGTATGTGGAGGTGAGAGGCCAGCTCTATAGCGTCATTTCTCTTCTTCCACTTTTATGGAGGTTCCAGGCATCAAACTCAGGTTCACCAGGTCTGGGTAGCAAGTGCCTTTACCCACTGAGCCATATCACTGTTCCCTGACCCTGAAAGTCCGTCCCACCTAGCTAAACGGCGAACTTGATGAGTTACTAGTACTGACCGTGGATATCGTTACTGCAGATATTAAAGGCATCAATATTGTCAGTGCCATTAATGCTGTGAATCCTGAGAATTCATACTCCATTAGCATCTGCGTGTAGAAGGAGCAGTCTAAATATAGATGGGGAGGAGGGAACAAGGCTGGCATGCTGGAGTTTGTGAGTGGCTAGGCTAGGACAGCCACCCCTGGAAGAATGGGAACATCCTGTGGGATGGCCCCTATGAATGATGTCCTGAGCATCCTAAGCCTGAACAGGGTGCTACAGTCTGATACCTTTCCCAAAAGAACCCCAGCCCTTGGCCTCTGAAGCTCCCTGTCTGATATGTGAGACAAAGCCAGTCCCAGACTTGGGGGAATTCCGTTCTTGTGGGAGCCACAGGCTCCATCAGACAGCACAAGACCCCAAAGAGGAGACAGTCCCTGCCACTTGTGGGGAAGTCAGTGTCGCCGGTGTCACTCCACCTCTATTCCCATCAGTCCCTCTAAGAGCGGAGGTGCAGGAGCCCTTGGAGCAAGGCTGCCTTAGTCACCCAAGAGTAAGAGTGGGCAGAAATCTGGGCCTCATGGCAATCCCAGGGAACGAGGCCAAGAGGTGAGCTGAGGGATTCTGAGAAGAGTGTTATCAAGTCCCCAAAGGCCAAGAGATGGCCCTCTGGGTCCATCCAGATGTCCTGGCTCTGATGTGTACTCGCCTCCCCTCCCTCCCTCCCCTCCCGCTCCTCTCTGCCCTGCCCTCCCCTCTGCATCCCACCCCCCGCCCCCACAGCCTGCCCATCTGGGTTCTGGGGCTCTGCCTGCTTCCACACATGCAGCTGCCACAACGGGGCGAGCTGCAACGCCGAGGATGGGGCCTGCCACTGCACCCCTGGCTGGACCGGACTCTTCTGCACGCAGCGTAAGCCCTGCCTCCCAGCCTCCGAGCCACTCCCAGTCATATGCTGCGGCCTACTGGTCACTTGGTGAATAGTCTTGGCTTGCAGAGGGTGGGGAGGAAGAGGCTGGCCCCAGGACCAGCCACACCTCAGGATCATTCCAAAATCTTGAGAGGTCAAGGCTATAGAGTACCCCAGCAATCAAAAGGATCAGACCCTCGCACCATGGGGAAGAAATCCCAGGGCTGCACAACGAAGAGACCAGAGCTTGTCCTCTGCTGCTGAGACCCTAGTTGCATGGATCGCCTTGCCCCTACCCTCCACCCCTTTAGACTGAGGTTCAGTGGGTACAGATGGCTCTGCGGGGCTCACTAGCCTTTATCCCATGCTGTGGAGGAAGCGGCAGTCAAGCCTGGTCCCAGGAACATCTCTGCAGTTTCTCTGAGCCCACAGCCACTGTGACCTGTGGTCTTGTTGCAGGTTGCCCTGCAGCATTTTTTGGGAAGGATTGTGGGCACATATGCCAGTGTCAGAATGGAGCCAGCTGTGACCACATCACTGGGAAATGCACCTGTCGAACAGGCTTCACCGGGCGCCACTGTGAACAGAGTACGCTGCCCCAGCCCTGTCCTGGTATTTGGGCTAGGCTTCTGCCTACTGCAGGGGAGGCTGCTTCCTCCAACCCCCATCCCCACCCCACCCCATCGGGGACACTGCAGCTCCTGTAGACTTTGAGGACAGCTTCTGAGGAAGACTTAAGGCTAACCCTACACACTCATGGTCAGAGAATCTCCACTTCAAACAGGACAAGGGTGTGGTAGGCAGATCAAGGAGGGACTAGAGAGAGGCAGGATTTTCTGGTCCTCTAAATGAGTTCAGGAGGAAGAGGCAGGTGGGGCCTGACTCGGAGTGATACACTCTACCCATCCATCCCCAACTATTCAATAGGCTTCATCCACCGTGGGTGGGCTACAACTGTCCTGCTGCCCCAGGCGTCCCCAGCTGGAGTGGGAGGGGTGGGGCGTGGCTGTGTCTCACTGTTCACCTGCGCTCTGCATACCACACAGGATGTGCCCCTGGGACCTTTGGATACGGGTGTCAGCAGCTATGTGAGTGTATGAACAATGCCACTTGTGACCATGTCACCGGTACCTGTTACTGCAGCCCCGGATTCAAAGGAATCAGGTGTGACCAAGGTAACACAGGTGGCAGAATGTGTGGACAGGGGTGGAAAGGGCCCAATCACTGGTGGCTTGGGAGAGGTCTAACCAGACTAGCTGAGGTTTATGACACTACCTTTTACTCATAGTTGGGAGCCTCACTTCACAGTTTCTCCGAGCATATTCTCTGGGAGTTCCCCCATGAACTAGTGCTGGGAAAGGCCACCAATCAGGATAAGTTGGAACATGCCAAGTTTGACTTCTGCCACTCCCTGCTAGGTGTCTCTGGGCGGGTCATTTCCTTTGCTGGACCTTTTACTCCACATTCAATTAAGATGTTAACCTTTGTCCAAAGGGCTCAACGTGACACTAGCTCTACACCTTGGCAACATCCCATAGTACATCTGAGGGGATCAAACTGAGGCAATTCAAGAAAGGCCTCAGCGATGCCTAGCACATATGAGCACTCTGTAAATGGTGGCTTTGAATGTAAAAATCTCTTTGTAAAGTTATGCAGACTTGGGAGGTTACTGTTGGTTCTAGAAGATGGGAGCAGAAAATAGGCTCTGAATTACCCACATCAGACAAACTTGCAGTCTGAAGCCATGCGGTTGAGGCAAATGCAGCGTTTGCTCCCTAGAGTGATAGCCAGCTCTCTTCAGCTAGCAGCAGAGAGCCAGGGAGAGGTCCAGATGCTGCACAGCTAGAGGACAGACCCTCACCAGATCAGTCACAGAGAGACCTAGCCACACACGTATAATCAAGAGGTGTCTTGGGGCAGTAACAGGCAGCCACAGAGCTCCCAGCTGTCAAGGCCAGTCTATCATTTGGTGCTTACAACTCCCTGGGGAAAGATGGGGTTACTGTCCCCATGGACATCCTAAATCACATAGCTGGTAAGCAGTAAGAGTAGCTAAAGCCAGTTTTTCCTGACTGAATTACTGGTTAGGTGAACTCAGACAAGTTACCTAAGCTTGGTGACTCAGTTTATTTTTTCGAACTGTGTGGAAAAGGTAAAAAATTAGTTCCTTTTTTGTAGGTCTGACACAATGATAAAGTAACTTTAGCCCACATGTGGACCTGAGTAAATACTCAGTAAGCATTTATTTTGCTTCACATCTGAATCACGTTTTCTTTTTGTGATGCTGGGACTTGATCTTCTTCCTGGCATTAGGAGAAACGGAGGCACTGTGAGGGTTAAGATCAGGCAGGGATGAAGGGGCTAGCCAGGAAGTATATCGGAATCAGGCCCAGCTCTGGCTCAGGCCTCCCTCTGCCCACAGCTGCCCTCATGATGGACGAGCTGAATCCCTACACCAAGATCAGTCCAGCTCTGGGAGCAGAGCGGCACTCAGTGGGTGCTGTCACGGGCATCATCCTCCTGCTGTTCCTGGTTGTGGTGCTGCTGGGCCTGTTTGCCTGGCGACGGAGGCGGCAGAAAGAGAAAGGCCGTGACCTGGCTCCCCGTGTCTCCTACACCCCGGCCATGAGGATGACCAGCACAGACTACTCTCTCTCAGGTCAGGCTATGCCCCAGTTCCTCTTCTTCACCCATACAACCCAGCAGGAGGCATGTGGCCTTCTTAGGAACATCTACATTCTTGGGTCAACATGGGTGGTCGGTTATACCTGCAGGGTGGGTGGCTGGGCCCGGGAATGTTCACCCCTTAGAGAAAACGGGGTTGGAGAAGTCTGTGGAGTTCCAAGAGGCTGCTGCTTCCTGGAGCCCAAGCTCCAAGGAGCTCAAGCTGGGTGCCACCCCCCACATCCCCACCCTCATCGGGCTGTGTCTACAGGAGATACATAGTAAGCAACAACTTTTCTAAGCAACCCAGGAACAGTTCCCGGTGTGAAGCCCGAGCACCTTGGCAAACTGTGCCCTACGGACTTTTGCTTTCCTTGGGAGGGCCTCAGGCCATCCCCAAGGAGCTCCCCAGAAGTGTAGTAACAGGGGTGGTGCCTCACTTAGGAAGTGTCCCACAGCCCTGTGTGCTTAGATAAGGTAGAAATGCCAGTGGGCATCCTGTGGTAGTCTGAGTGAGGCATGGATGGAACTGCACCACAGCTGTTCCCTCCTCTGAACTGGTACCTTGAAGAGAAGGCTTTGTGCTTCATATTTAGCTAACCAGCAGAGACTCCCGAACTGCCTTGGTGTTGGTTAGGCCTGCGCTGTTGAAAAGAAGGTGGTGACTTTCCAATGGCTAACAGGTGATCTATAGCCTCCTGTACCTTGTGCTTAATTTAGAGTATCTAGACCACATCTGCCATTCCTGCTAAGGGTTGCTTGCTGTGTGCCAGCTCTATGCCAGGAACAAGATAGACGGCGCTGGCCACAGAGATCTCCTGGCCACTCTGGGTCCAACCAAAGCCAACATCCTCTGGTGAAAGCCCAGGCCCATTGTGATTTGGCAGTTTTCTTCTATAATGACAATGAGCAAGAATGGCTGGATTTTCCCCAGTCCTGTAGAATCCTCAGAAGAGCTGGGGTCAACATAAATGGAGTTCTCTATGTACTTATTACTAGAATCTGACCATAGAGGGAAGCAAGAAAAGCCAATACACCTAAAATAGCAACTCAAAGACAAAGCCATCAGAGCCAGCAGTCAGTAGCTTCCAGCTGACCATGACACCCTCGTACTAGCAAGCCTGGTCTGTCAGCTACACAGAGGGCCAGCAGTAAAAATAAAACATGGCTGGCTCTCCCACTTGCTTTAGGGCCACTGGATGCCAGGTAGCTTGGAGGAAGGGGGGGATCTGACTGTCTCTCTGCAGTGCCCAACTCCAGCATTAGTCTTGGGGGCATCTCAACCAAGGGCAGGTGTATGATGGAATACGGCTCCTTGTTCTCTTCCCAGATTTGTCTCAAAGTAGCAGCCATGCCCAGTGCTTTTCCAATGCCAGCTACCACACACTGGCGTGCGGGGGGCCTGCCACCAGCCAGGTCAGCACTCTGGACAGGAACAGCCCCACCAAGGTACTGGCCCCCTGGCTCCCCGCCCTCACCAACTATCCTCTCCATTTAACACTCCCCTCTGCCCAGGAAGGAACTGCACCCCACATAGAGGCTGTGTGGAACTTCTACGTTAAGAATAATCCTAGGACTCATGGGTCATGAGAACACTCTGAATCATGTAACTAGGAAAGAGTATGTTGTATGGAGACAGCAAGCTCTATCTCATGCAACTACATCACACTGCCCACTCACTGGAACATACCTGCACCTTGTGTACAGATAACTAGTACCTACCAGAATATAGTAACAGCACATGCAACCATCTTATCTCACACTTGTGTATACCACATAGCCACTTTGGTCATATGCTAATACATATACTCAAAACATATGTGCTTACCACAAATTACTGCAGTGTGTTAGCAATATACTCTGAAGTAACTCTATTCAATTAACCACTAGATGCCTCTTAAACTTGGGCATAAATATCATCAATACACACATCAGATGAGAACCCAAATACTAGCTAGTATTCTTGCTGAAAGGGGGTGGACCAGTTGTGTCCCCTCCCAGATAGCTCCAAGCACAACACTGAGTCATAGAATAGGTAGATGTCCTTCGTCACAAGTATTACCAATCTTAGAGATGTCTCATCACATATGTATGTAGATAGGACGTAGTGCATCCCTTGATGGACTAGTAAGAGGCAGAGTGAGAGACTGAGACATGAACAGCCCCAAGTATAAGGTTTGTGGGGGGGCTCCTGCTATACCCACCTCCTGACACCCACCTAAGCATGTGCCCCCCACATACTCAGAATGGCAAGACCATTTGGGGAGTGACAATCCCGGGATCCCTGGCTTCCTGTACCATCATCTATCCCGGGCCAGGAGCACAGTTTTCACATTTAGACCTCTTCTGGAGCTGAGAATCCCTTCCTCCTCATCTATCCCCTGAAGAATTACCACCAGCCCATAGACCTGGGGGCTGCTTTTCTATGAAACAGGCAAGGTGCATGCAGGTTACCTAGAGGCTAATAGCTTTGGCCACCCTGCCCATCATCTTCCACTCAGGACTCCTTGTCCAGGCTCAGTTCAGCTTTAAGCTTGAGGAGCTGAGAAGAGGCAGCCCTTGATTAACACAGCCATGTTATCGAAGCTGCAGCAGGCTAGAGGCACAAGCCAGGGATGAGACAAAGGTTGGAGGCCATGACATTATTTGTACAAGAGCAAGCTACTCTTTCAGTAGAGGACTGGTTTGGCTCCCCTCACAGGGGCTGAGACTGGCTTTATGTAGACAAGAACCCCTCCTGGCAGAACATCTGGAGCAAAGGTCGGCATGATGCCATGGATGGGACTGGCAGCTGAGACCTGAATTCTAGAGCTAGCTTTGTCTCTGGCTCCGTGTATCTATGAGTATGGCCCCATGTCTGAAACAACATCCTTGCCTCACATAAAGGGCAGTAAGAGAATGGAGGGAGAGGACTGCATCATCAGTCTCACGACTGGAACTTTTCCTTGGTCACATGAAAGAGACTCTCCTATGTGGCCCGGGGGCAAACACTGCAGGTAGCCCTGTTTCAGATAAGGAAGTGATAGAGCCCCCCACATCCCGGCAGCATAACCCCGTATGCCACAGGGGCCTGAGAACTTGGTTTGGGCATGTACTGTTTTCATTGGCCTCAACTACAGAATGGGAGCTTGTCATACAACATCTGTCTGGTCCTCCTCTACTCAGTCATCCAGGGCCTGGGAGCTCAGGAGCATCTTAGGGATGGGTACACTGAGGCTGGGCCAAGTGCCAACTTGGGGAAGGGCAGCTGAGGCATGAGGTATTAACTGGCTCTCCTCTCCAAACAGCTCAGTAACAAGTCCCTTGACAGAGAGACAGCAGGCTGGACCCCCTACAGCTATGTGAACGTATTAGGTCAGTAGTGGTTTGAGTCGTCTTCTCCATCAGTCCCACCATGATCTCTGTACTGAGCATGGCTTCCTTGGTGTATAGAGAGCGCATGGCTGTGGCCCAGTGATTACTAGGAATGGAATGAGGAGGTCTCCAGTGGAAGCAGAATGTATATTTGCCACTGTGGAAAAGGATCCTCTGCCTGGCACTTTTCAAGGCTTCTTCCCTCTGCCCTAGTGGAGGGCGGAATGGAATGGGAGGGGAGGAGAAAAGGACAGATGACCCCAGCCCCTTTGGATGCTACATGGAGATTCCTTCTGGCCTGCCCCCTACCCTACCCTCTGCTTCCCACCCCCTTCTCCTGCCATCCAGGCCCTAGGAATAATGGCTCCTCCCTGTCATTCCTCTCACTAGACTCCCATTTCCAGATCAGTGCCCTGGAGGCCAGGTACCCGCCCGAAGACTTCTACATTGAACTTAGACACCTCAGCCGCCACAATGAGCCACACTCACCAGGTCAGACCCCCCAGCCTTTCCTTCCACCCCGAGAGCAGACTGCTCTGCACCCCATCCCTGTCCCCATGGAGCCTACCCAGGATTAGTCTATAAGCCCTGTGCCCTACTCCAAGACGGCAGTTTGTCCCAGTCTTTCCTCCTACCCTTTTCACCCTCACATGCTGGCTAATGTGGACAAATCGGGGTTGCTTATGGAGGGGACACAGCCTAGCTGTACTCTCCGTTCTGCACCACGCAACCCAATAATGGCGTCAACAACACAAGGCTGGCTCTCTGCACAGAAAGGTCAATGATCCCAGAGAGGCCCCAGAACTAACATCTTAGAAAGCAAGGTAGGGTTGTTGAGAAGAGACTGGGGGAAAGGTAGGCAGGATCTACCACCTAGTATCCTCTGGACTCTAGGCTCAAATGTGGTGGCCTGAGAGGGGTGTGGCAACTGAGTCCTGAAAGGGGAACCCGTGCATCAGTTTTAAAAATGAGTGTCAAAAGAGTACAAAGGATGGACAAGGACTGTGGCCTCCCTACAAAGTAGCTCCTTTAGGGCGCCCTGGGGCAGGGCCTCAGAATGCTTAACAACTCTAGGTTTGAGTTTGGGCTCTAGGTGACTTAGTGCTCCACGGAAACTAAGTCAACCTCCACAGGTCTCTAGTCCTGGAAGCATGAAGGTTTGGAATTCATCTTGTTGAGCAGGCATGGTTGCAAGGACCCTGCTAAGCATTCAGTACCCCTAGGACTATACTATAATCCCTGTCCTCACTTCACATTGAGGTCACTGTGATCCAAATAGGAGCATGGGAGCACCCGGGCATCATCTGGGCTCAGCCCTAGTTCCTCCTAGTTCCACAGACCTTCAATCACTGTAGCTAGAGCACTACACACTGGCCTTTGTTAGCTCACAGCCAGCTAGGCTGTGGCCATTGGGGGAGAACCCCTGAGATGATCTAGGCTCTACTACAACTCAACTTTGTATTTGCTTGTATACCCTTGAATAAGTTTCTGACACTCTTTGGACCACTGTTTCCTGAAAAGGGGGGGGGGGTGCTAACTGTAGGCACCCTCCTTTCTTCAAGAAGAGCAAAGGAAACTCTTGACTATTAAGTGTTAAACTGAGGTCAGCATGGCCTGCTGCAGGTTTCTAAAGGGTATGGGTTCCTTCAGAACTTTTAGAATGGCTTGCTTCTGCTGTATCACTCAGGAAGGTGTGTAAGGTGGGCACATAGGCCTGAATTTCTGCAAATTCAACTTGGGAACTCTATGTGGAGGAAGGATCCAAGTATCAGTGGATTTGTCTTTGGTGTCAGAAATGTGGGCAAGTTAGGTGGAGTTAAACTATATTAGTAAGTATTTGTCGATTGCCTTGCACTGTTTTCAGTTAAGGATCAAGGTGTATCTAGTTTAAGAATCCATACTGTTCTTGGTTCCCAGCAACCATATCAGGCAGTTCACAACCACCTGAAACTCCAGCTCCAGGGGATCCAACACCTCTGTACTCATAGACTATATATATTTATATAAAAGTAAAAATAAAAGGACAAAAACAACAACAACGAAAAAAGCAAAACAAAACATCAGAGTGAAGGGGAGGGGCGGGGCGTAACTGTGAGTTAATCATTACTGTCCCAACCTGGAAAGGCCAGACTTGGTCCCACCCCTGGGATCACTTGTAGCAATCAACTCAAGTTTATGTCCTGCTTGTGGCTCAGGACCATGCATTCTGGGAACCTAGGAAAAAACAAACAGCAAAATGAAAGAAGTCCTTAGGGCTGAAAAACATTGGCAACATTTTCAGGAACAAAGCTCTACTTCCCCACACCCTTCAAAATGAGTAACTGAGTAAGCTGGCTGTGGCCAGGAATGATTGTTCTTCCTGGAAGTAATTAAGTACCCCAGCTACTTGTCTACTTCTCTCTGGCTCCATCAGAGCTACGGGGTCAGAAACCCTGCTTCCAACTCCATTGTATAACCAAGGGAAAGGAGAATTAGAATTCTCTGCATTGTTCCCTCCAGCTAAGGACTGGTTCAACTTCATTCCTTACCTGTGCCTCTAGAGTCTGGCATTTCATCTATAGAGACCAAAGGTGGCATCCTGAAAGGCAGGTGCAGGCTAAGAGGAAAGCCAAAAGGGCTGCAGCCCACCTTAATGTGATGAGCCCTTAAGAATCCCTCTATGTTCAAAACTATTTAGATTAAATCCAGAATAATTTACTAGGAGTAAACTATTTCCTGGGTAAAAGAAGAGAAAGACAAGGGGAGGGGAAGCAACCAGCTGTCTAAAGAAACCTCACCCTGGATTTTCTTTCCTTCTGTTTTTATGCAGGCACTTGCGGAATGGATAGACGTCAGAACACATACATTATGGACAAAGGCTTCAAAGGTAGAGTATCTAATCCTGATGTCCTGTTACCGATCTGAAATGGCAAGGAATTCTGCCTGAGAGAATACTGCAAACCCCATGCCCCTTAAAAAACAAAAAAGCTAAGAAGCTCACGGGACCCAGAGCCACTGGGTGGCTCTGCCCAGGAGGAGCAATCCTAATAATAATGAATTCATCTTTCCATTGCAGTTGCACCTGCTTAGCAAACGCTTGTGGGTTTGTTATAGATGCCAACTAAATGTCTTCGGAAATGTAGACCATCATTATCCAACCAATTAGTACGAGTTAAATTGATTATAAATCTGAAATAAAGTCAATCTACCTGCCCCAGAGGTCTTCTGTTGTTGTACTGGCAAGGACCACCACCCTGCACCTGCTGCCTTTCTGGGGCACAAAGATTGCAAATGATGCCCAGTGTTAACAGCCCCTATCCTCCAGAGAACTCTGCATCCAAGACAGATCCCTACGCCACAAGAACTACATACAAGGCGGACCACCCCTCTAGGAAGTCTACAGGTGAAGTCAAAAATCAAAGATCGAGTCCAGCCCCCCCCAGTCAGGTCCCAGGTTTAAATGCTGGACATGTGAGCTAGGCAGGGTGCTCTGGAACTCTGTCACTTATTAACCGTGTGTTTCCTAAGGTTGTTTCTTCACCTGCAAGGTTGGGATAATTATGCCTGTCCTGTTGACTCATGCCTGTCTTATTATCTAACAAGGTTATCTTGGGTGTCCAATAAAGTCGGATGGGAAGCGCTTTTGTGTATTATAAAAGTGGTACCAATGTGATGTCTCTGGGAAACGTTTCAAAGTCTCAAACTGAAAGAGCAGTAATAAAACTCAGCAAAAATCCCAACTGATATTCTAAATCTACCTCTGCACCAGAATCACCTCACAAGTTGTGTTCAAATTGCAAGTTTACACCCCCCATCAGATTCTGCTGCAGTAGATGGAGAGGAGGGCCCAGCACTCTGCAATTGAGAGGAGTACCTCAGGCTATCCTTATCAATTTTTATCCAACTATCATTAGTCTAAACTGCCCCCAGCTTTCCCAGGTTTCTATTCTGGTCTTTCAGACCTAGCATGACCATCTCCTAATCAAGGAGAGCAACTTGTGTACAATCTTAGGAAGTTGGTGATCAGAAGTGAGATGAGCAGAACACGGGTGATGGTGTGTTCTACAAGAAAGAGAAGAGCAGGCTGAGTGACCATCAGCAAGGTTTAGGATATGCAAAGCCCAGGAGACCTGTCTGAGGAGGAGGCCATTCCCAAGCTCTAAGCTAGCCCATAGGCAGTATTACCCCAGGAGCTTGATTATGGCAAGTTTCTGAGGGTTCTGGTTTAAACCATCCAAATGGAGGCACACACCATTTCAGTATGTGAGGCTGCCAACAGAAGAGCCATAATGCCACTTGTCTGCTATGACCCTAAATCTGTTTCTCAATGTGGAATGGGGGCTAGAGAGCTATCCTGGGGCCTTTGAAGCTCTGAGAAGATGCATGACTCAATGGAGAATAGCTCAGAGAAGCTCTGAGACTAGTGTACAGGCACACCTTCCCTATACACCTTGTCATCCTGTGCATGGTGATTAGGGTAACTACTTTTAAACTCAAAACCATAAAACAGCCAAAAACAGAGCCTCGGCATCATTGCATTCCTGTCTTATGGACTCATCTGAGTGCATGGGAGGCTCTCACAGGCAAGCAGCCAAATTCTGTTTCACAACTGGCTCTAATCAGCCTTTTAGAGAGAACTGTGTAGGCAAATGTACATCAAGTGTTGGGGGCCAACATGGCACACCAGAGTTCAAAAAGAGGCCAGTGAAGTATCACTGTAGAACTTAAATATGAATGTAAGAAATGCTTACAAAACAAAGCATGGAACAAACCCTACCTGCTGGCTAAGTCCCCAAACACTTGTGACCAGCTACTTCATGTCACTAATGTAAACTATTTCCTAAAGCAATAGGGGCAAGCCAAACCCAGCAGGACTAATAAGAGTCTAGGGGTTCTCTAAACTTGGTGGGTGTGTGCGGGGGTTGGGGGGTGGCTTGCCAGAGAAGGAAAGGATTTGGGCTCCAGTTCAGCTGTACAGTGCTCACTAGACACAGCAGTACGTGTGGGTCTTGGCTTTTTGTTTTTAAAGGGACAGTTGTGATAGCACCACCTCTAAGGCCCTTTCCAACTCTGACATTGGAAAAGTCCTAATTCAGTAATATCTACTTTTCTCTAACTGGGAACTCCACTCACCATCACCTTGGGAGGCTGAAGGAGAGTGCTTACCCAGCTAAGCACCTGTCTTCCCTTTTCTCCTTAATGACTGTACAATAAACTGTCGTGTCCAATTCCTTGTGTGTCATGCTTTCCAAGTGTGACAGAAAAAAATCCACTTCTCTCCACCTTCTATCTGGGAATCCTTGAGTCTGGACTGCCACCCCCAACCTGTACTCCCCCGCTACTCACTCCCTCAAGCGACTTTGGGTTCTCACACATTTCGAAGCCCACTGACATCCTGACAACTCTTGTGGCTGGCCAGTGTTTTCTGCCTCTCAGACAACCAACCCACCCCCACCCCCGTACGTCCCATCCCTCCCCACATCCTCTCTCTCACTGAAGGGAAGAATGCTAGCATAACCCCAGAAACAGAAGCAGCACCCTGGCCTCCTATTGACAGCAGTAGCTCAGAGGTGAGCAACAGATACTTAGTGCCTGGGTTTCCACATAAATTTGAGTAATCTGGGCCTTAAATGGATAGCAGGCCTTAATAGGTTCAGGACATACTCACAGGTTCAGAACATAGTCACATATTGGGAAGTTGTTTCCTCTCTAGACTTGTTCTTCCTCAAAAAATGGAGATGTTCATTTCAGAAACCCATCTTGACTGTGATGATATGCACAACGGTGTAAGGTCCAGAGGAGGAAACAAGGAGAGTAAGTGCCACGGCACTTGGAGGACTGCATGCTTCCCCTTTCTTTGCACAGTGCCCTGACAAGCTGGCACTGGGGTGGGAGTGGGGCTGCGAAGGGATGAGGAAGTATCCCAGCCCAGCTGGTTACTCTTCCCCACACCCTGTCATCAGAGCAGGCAGGTGGATGACTCAACAAGAGAAAGGCTTGGCTTCCTGAGGCTGAGTTCTCTGTCTTGCCTTGCCCCATCTCCTCCAGTTCCCAGCAGACATGGGATAACTCAGCACCCTCCCCAAACACCACTCTCCATGGGTTTCTCCATCCTGTCTTGACCTGCAAACCTTGTATGGAAGATCCTTGGCCCTGAGCCTAATTCCCTTCACCCCAGCTACAATTTAGCTCAGGAGAAGGAATGTACTGAAATGGATAAAAGCTAACATTTTCTTCAACTATTGAGAGCAGTCCACTGTCTCACTTCCTGGTGAAAATACAGCTGGGTGAGGCTCTAAGGCTTTCCACTCCTCTGACTTAGCCTTTCCTCTCAGCAGGCCCTGGTGTTTCTAGGAAGGATAAACGGAAGCAGCTGTGAAGAGCTTACACTCCAGCTAACTAGATATGCTGATGGAAAAACATCTTGATTGTCAGATAAGACAGTGGTTGAGTCCTAAGCACTAAGCATTAGACTAACAAACTTTGAGCTTTGGTTTCCTCATTTCTAAACAGTAATAGCAGTCCTTTCCTGCCCAGCGCCCCACCAAGTTTCTTTCTATTTGCTTTGAGACAAGGTCTCACTATAAAGTCCTGGCTGGCCTGGAACTTGATGTGTGAACCAAGCTAGCCTTAAACTCAGATCTGCTAGCTTTTGCCTCCCAAATGCTGGGATTACAGGTGTGCCTAATCACAGCCAACGCCTAAGTTTCAAATAGCCTAACTGGAATGAAAGTCACTCTTCAAGTGCTACACAAAGTAAGCTGTCCCTCAATTGCACATAATATGCAACCAAGACAGTGGTGACAGGTAACGAACAGCTTTCAAACAAGAAGTCCTGAGCCTCTCCCTGCCTGATGAGTGCAGACCAACCATATCAGGACAGACTGGGAAGTTCTCAGGCTTACACCACTCCCCAGTACTACGGAAGTACCGTGAGGCAAACGAAGATGACGGCTTTAGACAAGTCCCAGTCTAGAACCCAGGCCACCATTCTCTGTCCTCTACGTGGGTAGGCCTCACCAGCAGAAGCACCTGTGTGCCTACCCTTTGGTCCGAGCCACAACTGGCTGAGACTGCTCATTATCTAGCAGGAATGTTTTTTCCTCCCTGAGTCAGAAGCTACAAAGGTCAGTCTTAGACCAACCAGACTAAAGCCAACTTCTCTCCCAACTTGTGAGCTCAGCTGGGATGAAAAGCACTTTGGATTTGCTTCTGGAACTGGCTTTGCTAGGGAGAGGCAGGGGGACTCTGAGGAACTGACTTCCCTAAGTCTCAATTTCTTCCTAAAGCACTGAGGCAGGCAGGAGGAGGAGGACAGCTGCTGCTCTGCTTACATCCCAGCATCCTGAACACCTGAAGGAACTAGCAGGTGAACGCACTTCTACACACAAGCAAGGACATGCTGCCTGCTAGAGCAGGAGCTGCCAACGTCCCGAGTAAGCCCCTCCACACCAGACCTGCCCCACACCAGACCATTTGTGCTGGTGCCCAGCTCAGTTACTTCGGTCACTTGCACATCTAGTTCCCCTTGAGTCACATGGCTATCACTTTTTAACATTTTCAGCAAAATCAAAACTGGGGGCAGAGAGCTTAGCTGACAGCCCCAAATGTAAACTGTGGTGGTTCCAGAGAGCAGATTCCCTAAGAATTTCACCAGCTGACTTTCCCAGACATTTCGAGGTGAGAGGCTCTTCGGTTACTCTTGACTCTCAAGAGTACTTACTTACAGACACCTTGCCTGCCAGTGCCTCACAGCCAAGGGTCACAACTGTCAGACTAGCTTACCGCGCACAGACAGAGCATCACCCCCGAAGGGAAGGAGAGTAGCAGTTGAAGTCAGTCCCTTTCTTTTCCCTGTGACTCTAGTCACTAAGGGCTCTTCTTCCTCCAGGAGAGCCACTGCCACTTCATCTCATTTTTATTAGACATCATTTTGCACCCTTGTGGAACTGAGTTCTAATGACAGAGAAGCATACAACTGAAACAAGCTCCAGTCAACATTCCCAAGGACCGGGGAAGATGAGCCTGGACTACACTTAGAGCTTGTTAACAACACTCAGGTACCTTCTCAAAGGCCAGCTTGAAACCGAGGGCTTTTTACACCTGCTACACTTCATTTAGCCCACTCTAAGGATGAGCTCCTGAAAGACAGGGATGCTGCTATTTGCTGAAAACTGCTAAACTGTTGACATCCATACTAAAACACATATATGCTGTTATTGCTGCTTCTGAATCAAAGTTTCTAGTCATCATCACAGAAAACATGGGGCCAAGAAGTTGCACAGATTTGAGTCATAGCTCTGCAGAGCAATTTACTAACTCATGACCCTAGCCAAGTTACTGTACCTCTCTGGGCTTCCACACCATAACATACCAGCTAGCATTTGTATAAACCAAACAATACATGTAATTGTATACTGTGAATAATCTTGAGCTAGTATCTAAAGATTAAAGCCAATGATTTTCTTGTCCTTCCAAAACATGCTTCTGTGGGAAAAGAATACCTAAGAAAGCATACCTTAAGACATTGAATAAGGCCGGGCGGTGGTGGCGCACGCCTTTAATCCCAGCACTCGGGAGGCAGAGCCAGGCGGATCTCTGTGAGTTCGAGGCCAGCCTGGACTACCAAGTGAGTTCCAGGAAAGGCGCAAAGCTACACAGAGAAACCCTGTCTCGAAAAACCAAAAAAAAAAAAAAAAAAGACATTGAATAAGATTTAACCTTCCGATATCACAGTCTTTTCCAGTCCCAGGATCCTGAAGTCACACAAACTTGACTGCAGTCTGTTTCTGGTATTTAAATGAATCCTTAAGTCCTTGTTTGTCCTAAGAAATCTTTCTTGCCTTGCAGATTACATGAAAGAATCTGCGTGCAGTTCTAGTACTTGTTCCTTGAACAGCAGTGAAAACCCTTACGCCACAATTAAGGATCCACCCATCCTCACCTGCAAGCTTCCAGAAAGCAGCTATGTAGAAATGAAGTCACCTGTGCACATGGGGTCTCCGTACACAGATGTGCCATCCTTGTCGACATCTAATAAAAATATATATGAAGTTGGTAGGTGTCTCACATAAGTAACTTAGCAGAACCAGGGCAACAGTGCAGCATCTCAAGTGAAATCCCTCCTCCATTCACTGTCTCCACAACACACCCTTCTATTTGGTTGCATCTGAAGGAACCCGAGGAGAAACTCCGTCCCAGGACTGCCCTCCCCTCTAATGCAGGAAAACAAAATCTTGTGCTACTCTGCTTACAAATCACAACTGATAAGCAGTAGAAACAGCAAGGGTGGAGAACCAGTATACAACACTGACTGTTGATACACATCCACGTCTGAAAAAGAAAACAGTCAGAAATACTGTTTACAAGTTTCTAAATCACTTCCCTACACCTCCCCTAGTTTCAACTACGATCTTAGAGGCGTTCATAGGCCCCACACCTCTAGGGTGTCCGAAATCTCTTGTTGAGCAGAGGCTGGGATTCTGACAGTGCACTCCTGTAGGTTTCCCAGCTCTAGAGCAAGCCTGTCCTAATTCTCATGCATGTCAGATTTAGACATCCACAGTTCCTCTCCCCAACAAGTTAAATAGAACTTTCTTCTCTCCCACCAAGGCAACAAAGCTAATCTGTTCTCTGAACTCATTTTTCACTATATTCCTTAGAGCCCACAGTCAGTGTGGTCCAAGAAGGCCGAGGCCATAACTTCAGCTATATCCAGAATCCATACGACCTACCTAGGAACAGCCATATTCCTGGTCATTATGACCTCCTCCCAGTAAGACAGAGCCCTGCTCATGGGCCCTCCCAGGACAAGCAGTAAGAGGGATAAGCTTCTCTCTTAGTGTCCTCTGCTGACTATTCTCTGACTCTGAAAGAAGACAATCCGTGACTTGAAATATCAGTACAGATTGACCTGGATTGAAAGAAGCACTTCCAAATGGGATTGGGATAACTGTTCAAGAAAGTCTGTTCACAAAGGCAAATCCTATCACCTTCAGCCCTAAATGCCCTGGATATGATTTTTAAGACATTTAAGATATTGCTACTCATCAAGATCAGCTAAATTCAGTTAAAAGATATGTATTTAATATTCTGAAACAATGCTTAAGATGAATGTAGCTTAGGTTCTGCAAACTTTCCTAGAAGGAAAGGGGACTGGGGAAGGGAGAGGGCACTTTAAAGCACCTGAAATGTGTATGTGCTGTTGATTGTTGTTACCATCAACATCTGTTTCAGTACCTAAGGGAACTGGTACGTGGACATGAACTGTTCTAATATTAATCGTAAAGTCTGTGTACATAAAGAATGGTCCATCAAATCATAACAGCCATAATCAGACTTTAAAATGTAGCATACTTCTGACAACTTGCATTTTCAAAAACAAGAATTTAATAAAGACAGTCACTTTCTTCTGCCCCATCAGTGATAGTAGGCAAAACAGAAAGAGAAGGAAAACATAAAATAAAAGAGTAATTATTTCAAAAGTGCAGCACTTTCATTCAGTCTAGAATAATTTCTATGCCTGCTTTACCAAATTTTACCAAGTCAAAGTTCAAGAATAATGAATGTCAATCCTGGCCTGGCTGCATTACATTAGTACACCTAGTACCTGGGTCATTCTGTGTGCACCAGAGGACTAAGCTGCTGCTTTAAGAGAGCAGTCACAGGGCTGGGAATGCAGCCCTGAGGAAGACCACTTTTCTAGTGAGCAAGGCCCTAGGGTAGATCATCAGCATCATAAAAAAGGCATAGGCTGATAAGAATTAAGTTTCCCTAGAAACCATCCAATTGGCCCATTCAATTTACTTAGTTGGGAGTCCCCTGACTTGTTTTCAAGCAGTTCTTCACAGATGGCACTTGATGTAGCATGGAACCTAAGAGTGTAGAAGAAATTACACAAATGTAGGCATGGCAAGCTTAAGTTGCTTAACATATATTGTGCTTTTTGATGGAATTAAATTAAATAAATGTAAAAAAAGTTTTTTAAAACCCAGCACTTATTGAGATGGGCAAATATGTATTCCATTAGTTGGTGCTTTAAATCTCCTGTTCAGATAAGTTCATAGCTCCCACTGCAGAGTTTAATAGCAGGTAAACTGAGGCTTGGACAATTCTGAATGTGGCTAATTCCCAAATTCCTATAGGACCCCTTCATAAGAATTAAGGGCAAACTGGAAGTTAATGGCCACCCTTGTGCCACCCCAAGCTCTTAAAGAGTAATAAGGGTCTAGCCAGTGAAAATTACCTAAAAAGGGTTTACAGAAGAGGGACTAGAAGACTGTAAAGGTGGATACTGCTACAGGAAGTGGGGTTGATACTAACTGGAAGTCAGCTTGGAACCCCTTAGTTTGAGCAAAAGCAAGAAAATAAATATATAAGCAAATCTCCCTCCTCACTTCACTCAAGGCATAAGCCAATTTTAGCATTAGAGGAACATAAACATGAATGCTGCATGTGTGCATGGAAGCGAGTGATCAGCAATAGTAAACTTTCCAAAAAGCCTTATTAAAATAGAAAACACTAGAAAATTACTTTGTAGACCTAAGTTAATATTTCTCATACATATGTATAAAGAAATAGTTAAAAGACTCACCTCAGTATTTCAGGGCCACGAGTGTTCAATTATCTTTGTGAAGCAAGGATGAAGAAGCATGGCAAAATCCAATCAGCAAGGAGAAATGGCATCTCAATCCCAGGCTTTATCTTCTTCCCTTATCCTGCATGTACAATAACTGCTACCTGGCAAACTGCAATCATGCAAATTCCAAGTCTCACTTGCCAACTCCCCTCTGCACAAAAGTATCCAGCAAGAGGTGGGATGGCTAGAGCATTGGTCAAGAGATGTTGGCACCATTCTTGTTAAGTCACTTGCCCTCTCTGGGCTCCTTTATTTCCCTCCACGTGAGAGAAGAGACAGAGTGGGAGCAGAGCTCTAACAACTCTCCAACTGTAGCACTCTACAACATTTCAAGCAACACAATTCAATCAGGCAATACAGAGGAGAGGCAAAGGGCAAAGATGTGATTAACTATGGTGACGACAGCAGCCTTCACATAGCTAAGAGTTAGCACTAAGACATTTCAATCATGCAGAGCTGTTAGGAATTTCTGTCTAACAATCACAAACAGGTTTGCAGTCGGCCTAAACATGTGCACTGTGCATTCTAGCGATGATTTGGAAAGATCTGTTCCATTATTTTTCAAAATGAAAACTTCAATCCAGTAAATTAATATGTATACAAGTCAGACAAATAAAGTACACAGTTATTGTACAATAGTGTAAGAGACTATGAAATGGCAATACTTTTTTAAATCACAGATTTGTAATATATTTGTTCACTGTGCAGAGGGACTGTACCTCAAACAAAATAAAATGGATTTCTCAAACTAACTTACAAGAATGCTTACTGTTGTTTTGCACACAGAAAATCTATAATCTACATTTTATGTTTAAGACAGAACTAACCTACATTTGGTATAGTTACTTTAAACAGCTGGAAGAATGAAAATTATCACAATAGATGCTTCAAAAATTAAGCGAAAGGTTATTTTTAAAGTGAAAATGGGATCTACTTAACTCATGTGAAGTATTTTAAAATCCCACTCACACTAGTATTAGGTTTCTCTGTTTTCCCAAGGATGTGTACTCAAAGGGCAAGAGTAAGGACTACCTAATTTATATAAACCCAATGAACAGATTTTGACTAATACAATTTAGCATATGCATCTGCTTTAGGACATTTTAAACAAAAATCTTCTGATATAGTTGGAGATATGTGTGTGTGTGTGTGTGTGTGTGTGTGTGTGTGTGTGTGTGTGTGTGTGTATTTTTAAAGCTGTAGGACAATCATGATGACTCATGACTATAATCCCAGCACTTAGGAGGCTGAAGCAGGACTACCAAGAGTTCCAGGCCAGCCTGTCTCAAAACAAGCAAACAGACGAACAATAAAAGCCAGGCATGGTGCTGTACTCTTGTAATCCCAGTATTCAGGAAGTTAAGGCAGGAAAGTTTCAAGTTGAAGCAGCTTAGGCTACATAGTGAGTTCAAGAGTAGCCTAGGCTAGGAGACTCTATCTCAAAAACAAACAAAATGCAGCAGGTTTATTTTTTTAAGAAAACACACACATTACTCAATTGAGCACAGAGCTCAGTGATAGAGCATTTGCCTAGCATGCATGAAAGTCTGGGTTCAATTCCTAGCATCACAAAAGCTTAAAAGAAAATACACATGCCAAAAAATAGCTTACTGGGCTGGCAAGATGATGACCTGAGTTTAATGCCCAGGACCTGTAAGGAGTAAGGTACAAGTTGTCCTCTGACCTCCACATGTGTGCTGTGGATATGCACACACGCATGTGCACACACATCAAACAAATAAATTACATAAATTTAAAAAATAAATTCTGGAATGAGTTCAAGTTTAAATTTGCTCTTCAGACTTTCAAAGGTATATATATTATCTTCATACTAAGTCAACTCAAAATATTACAACTTGTCAGTTCACAAGGCTTAAGTGATACTCGGGAAGCAGAGCCAAGCGGATCTCTGTGAGTTCGAGGCCAGCCTGGTCTACAGAGCGAGATCCAGGAAAGGCGCAAAACTACACAGAGAAACCCTGTCTCGAAAAAAACTAAAAAAAAAAAAATTTTTTTTAGGTGCCGGGCGGCAGTGGCGCACGCCTTTAATCCCAGCACTCGGGAGGCAGAGCTAGGCGGATCTCTGTGAGTTCGAAGCCAGCCTGGTCTACAAAAGCAAGTTCCAAGAAAGGCACAAAACTACACAGAGAAACCCTGTCTCAAAAAAAAACAACAAAAACCCACACTCCTACAACCTTAGCCCTTCAGGAGACTGAAGGGTCTGGAATTCAAAGCCAGTCTAGTTAGTAAAACCTTGTGTCAAAGTAAAATAAATGGCTGGGGATGTTAGCTCTGCAGAGTTAACTTGCCTGAAATGTGTGCAACCCCAAGTTCAGTCACCAACCACCACCACCACCACCACCACCACCCACCCACCCACACACACACACACAAAGTTATTTCAATTTAGTATAGTGTTTAATCAAGAATGATATATTTTTGCTACTCATAAATAAGGGACAATTATTCTCCAGGGCTGGAGGTTGACACATTTAGTGAACAAAGGGTGAAGTTATACTCTGTGAGTCTCTGAATATCCATAGAGGATAATCAAGGACCAATGGCTGCAGGTTGTGCCCTTAGCATCCACACATTCTATTAGTCATTCACCTACTTAGAAGGAAGACACAAGAGTTCACCTGATCAGTGCACCTCTCTAAGGAAGGATGGATCAATGGATGGCTACATGGGAGCTCACTATATTTGTGCTTTGTGAATTTTTTAAATTGGAAGTCTATATTTATAGAATTATACAATTCTGTGTTATTTTAAACAATAGTTAGTTGCCAGATTATATCTGCCCAAGCTATACCAAAAGGACACCTACACTCCTCCCTCTTAGCCCTCCCACAGTGTTCTGACATGGGGTTGTCAGGGAAAAACAGATATTCAACATATAAACATGAACAAAACCTATTTCCTGACTGTGGAGCTTACAATGTGATTACAAAAGGGCAGAGATAAAGGGAGGCCTGGGGTGCTAATTACGCAGTTTCTTCCTTGACTTACAGGAAGCTGAACAGGGGTCCAAACCAACCCCACACAGAGACGAAGCTCTGCTTTGACTTCAGTTGTCAGATTCTCTCCTCTTTCTAGCATCTTCCGCCTAAACAACTGTCTACCTATCAAACTGTCTACCCTAGAGGCTTGGGTAAGAGGAAGTAGGGAACCAGGGATCTTACATAGTACTGTTATTTATGTATCCACTTTAATGCAAAAAATAAATGTAAATAAAACTAGTTATATATAAAACAGCTTCCAGGGCTAGCAAGAAGACTCAGTGGTAAAGGAGCGTGCTGCCAAGGCTGAAAACCTGATCCCTGGGATGCACACAGTGGAAAGAGAGAATCAGCCCCTCAGGTTGTTCTTTGATCTCCAACCAAGTACTGTGGCATGCCCCACTGCACCCTCATAAGTGTGATAAAAAACTTCAAATGAAATAATGTTGCTTCTTAAATTGTTCCTTGTCAGGCAGGTGTGTGTGTGTGTGTGTGTGTGTGTGTGTGTGTGTGTGTGTTTCTTGGACCCCAATAATGAAAGGTTTTGGCAGCGGCCAGTACAATGGGTGGCAATCCCTTAAAGACATGAAGAACCATACCACTTCCTTGAAGATATATGAAAATGATCTGCTGAGATACTAAGGGCTGTCAGCAGGGGATAGATGCTAAAAACAGGATGTCTGCTCAGTGGAATGGGAGTATAATGATCTGAGAGTTTATGGTTTGAGGAAAGGTGAAGTTCTGCTAACTCAAAAATACAAAAGGAATGTTGCTGGCTACTAGTTTTAGTACTAGCTAGTACTGGTAGAGCGTAGTTAACAGCCAATACACAATTATTTTGTGTTCACATTTGTTAAGAACTACCAATCCCATGTCTAATAAATGGTAAGAAAATGAATTTAAATAAATTTAACAATTAAATCACATCAACACCCTGGAATGTCATTTAATCATGTGCATGCATACATTACCCATACACTGGAGGACGTTTTTGTTTGTTTTATTGAGGTGAACACAGGGTCTTGAACTCCTGATCCTCCTGCTCCTACTTCCCAAGTACTGTGTACTATCATGCCCAGCTTAGTCACTAGTACTAGACAGCTAGCTCTTTAGGGCCCTATGAAAGATAATGAGTTCTTAAAAAGTATGCAAGATGTTTTTAAAAGTTTTCTCCCAGAATGCAAGCCAGGTGCAGTGGCACATACCTGTAATCTCAAAACTGCAGAGCAGTATCAGGAGAATCAGGAATTCAAGACCAACCTCAGCTACATGAGATCTTCTCTCAACAAAACAAAAACAAAAAGCTAGTAGATTTTTTAAAACAATAAAAACCATAAAGAGTTCTCAACTTATAGTTGACTCAGATGATCAAATGCTTCTCCCTTCCTTCACACATATCTTGACACACATTGTTAAAATTGACATTTTTCAAATGTCCTGAAAACTTGTATCTTATTTATTGAGAATTAACATGGTGATAGATGATTTTAATCAAGATATTAAGACCAAAACCATTTTTGTAAAGTATTTACCTAATATTTTACTTATCTGTTAAATTTAAGATTTGAGTTAGAATTAATAATTTGATTTTAATATCTACACAACTCAGAAATGATCTAGTTCAGTCACATCATTACTTCAAAGAATTTGAACTACGAGATGAAATAGACAAGAACTACGATTATAATCTCTCTTTTCCAAGCAGCTGCCTACTGTGTTAGTTTAGACCCATTAGTTCAATCTTCTAACTCACGTGTGATGCAGCAAATTTTCTAATAATACCTGCCTGAGATACAGCATCCTTTCTAACATTCTATTCTCCAATTTTTAGGAAAATGGATACTGTTAGTAAAGTAAGATTCTGTCAATGAGATTAGCATTCTGTGTCATTTTATCGGCCTCCTACAATATGGAAGAACACAATCACTTTAAATGTTAAGACTGGCAACTCTGTTTTATTGGCGATGCACTCAGCCCTGGAAAGGACTATGGCACAGCGCTGCTCCAACCAGGAGAAAGCTCAGGCTGCTCTCTCTCTGGCGTAGTGTCATGGCACCCCTAAGACTCGGATAGCCCATTAAACCACGTGGGTGTGACTCCTTTCACAGCCTTTGTCCTTTTCTTGTAGCACAACAAATGAAGGTCATGTACAATCTAACAAAGCCCCATTTTATTCTGTTTTGGTTTTGTTTTATTTGAGACAGTGTTGGTTCCCCTGCGTGACTGGGTGTCTGTAGCCTGGTATTTAGATCAAGTGGCCTCCTGCTTCTGCCTCCTGAGTGTTGCCATAAAAGGTAGTTTGAATTTTCTTCAGGATTATGATCCATTTTTTTCTTTAGTTAATAACATTTTACAAAACTCTATAAACTGAAAACTAATAGTAATAAATTCTTAATTTATCTATCAACCTTTTCTGCTTCTCATGTGGGCCAAAAATGTCCAAATGGCATACCTTTTTCTTTATAATAGATTAATTATCACAACAGCTCAAACCACTGAGAGCATTTGGATTTTATAAACACAAGTCAGAAATGACAAAAATTAAAACAATCATTTTCCTAACAACCAAAGAAATACAACTAGCTCAGATGTATGATTCAAACTTTTATGGGTTAACTTTTCTGCAGAACTCTTCAGAATTTAAAAAAATCAATGGCAAAGAACACTGGTTGCCACCTCTGCTTACAATTCCAATTTAACATACTCAGTGGAATGGCTAAGGATAACTTACCCTGATATGGTGACAACCATGAGAAAAGACAGCATTTTCTGAATAACAAAGACAAGGTGTGATGGCTAACTGGCTTTTCAGGAGAATTTAACAGGTTCAGAAAAACATCTAAAGTTAAAAGTAATGAAAAGCAGGGTCCAAGTACTTAGGAACTGCCTTGAGCCTAGAGTTGTCCTAGTAAATAAAACCAATGCTTCCTACTTCGGACAGTTTGTCTCCTGAGGTACAACTCAACATGAAAACTCTTGTTGACATGCAAACAAAGTCACTTTCTAACACCGAATATTGCTTGAACCTCTCCTAAAATCCAATCACGTCCAAGAGCATTTAAATCTATTCTTGGTTTAAAAAAAAAAAAAATTAAAAGCTACTCTTAGTCATTTTTTATTTACTACATAATTTTTTCTTAGTTTTATTTCATAAAACTCCTGCAAATTTTTAAATAAATAGAGATGGAACCTTTTTCTGTGTCTAGTGACACTGTTTGACAGGAAAGTACAGAGACTGTGTCACCACTGTCCCTACTAATACTTTTCCCAGAAGAGTATAATTGGACTGAAGATCTAAAGTCTCACCTGAATTGACACTGTTGTCCCCAATCCAAGTTTACTCAGCAATGCAAGACCTATGTTCTCACTCATCAGAAGCAAGTATTCATGGCTGCATCCAAAGAATTCAGGGGAAAAATATAATCTGACAACACTGGGAATAGTCCCCCTATAACTGTTTATTAGGATGAGAATATACTCCAAATCAATAACTAAAAAAAAAAAGTCAAATTACAGAGCATGCATAAAATACAAAGTAGCAATTTATAAATAGACAGTATCTTTATAATCAATACACTAAAATAACAAATAGCTACAAAAGAAAAACAAAATGACTGACTACAGCAATGCCTTCTGTGCTCCTCACACATCATGAGCACTGCAAAAAGCGGAAGATTAACCATGAAACATAGTCTTCTATGCAAGCCCACACATTTTTGTTTTTTGCAGGTATCCCACCATCCTGAACAATATCTTTGCAGTTAACTTTCAGAAAACTGCAGAGTAAGTGCTTAATATTATCCACAAGGAAGTAAAACCTAGTATTAGTGTGCACATTTCTGAATGAGAAACTAGCTGCTCCATTAATTTCAATTACGTAGTGGAAAAATCTATTTCAGGACCCTACAATGCCTAAATGCATTCTATTTAAACTCAAGGTACTATTTCATTTTACATACTAAAAGAACACATGCCTTTAAGTGGTACCACTTGAGCATAAATTAACCTCTCACTGTATTCTTTAGACATACTAAAACCAAAGGTTTAAATGAACTATATTCCATTATACACGGTAGAACTCAAATATAAGCATTGTTAAAATAATTACCCATGCTTGTTGGTGGATATGGTGATAAAATTAGGCTGCATTTCACTTACTAGAAGGGTTTAAAAACAAAATTAACACTTCAAAATGTGTATGACTAGCATTAAGCTAGTTATTGCGTGAGCAATAAAAATGTCACACAATCTACTGCTGGGAAATGAGACTGGTTAAGCTACTCAGGCTGCCGATCACTGCAACAGAGACACCTCAGACAGAAGTCCACTAGCCTGCCAGGCAGCAGGTTAACTTATGACCCCATAACCATGATGCCCTCCCTACACATAATATAACAGTCCTTTGTATTTATTAAGATAATTCTTTTCCAGAAAAAAAGAATCCCCATCATCTTGGATGCTTACAAAAACTAAAGAAAAAATTTACAACATAGACCTATTAAGGCATTTTAAAAATTGACTTCCACAATGGAAAATCTTCAAGCTCTCAAAATGCTGTTATGTTTATAGAGCAATCCTTAGGTCTGTCAAAATATGTACTGCATTGAGAAGAGTCTTACAAGCTGCTCTGTGGCAAAATAATAGCTTGTTTCTAAGGTTGTCTTAGTTAGATTCGATCAGGACCAATGGGTCTGAGCTTCAAGTGATCAAGTTCTATTATGTTCTACAGTGACAGGCTTCCATGATGAAGAGTAAACAATAAGTGAGGAATTCAAACATTCAGTTTATTAAACTAAGGCTAGAGAAGCCATAGCATGAAAAAGAACTGCAGTCATTCAGGACAAAGTTGATGATTTTATAAAGCCAAAATCAAAAGACTTAAGACATGAGAAGATTCTTAAGTGTGAGGAAGTAATAAGACACAGAAAGTGACCACAAGAATTACAAATATATTTAAATCTCAGACCTGGGAAATGGACTATACACAGCCTTCTAGGGGAGAGAGACGCCTTAGATGTTCTGACAGCACTGCACCTTTGGCTTGTTTTCAGTGGTAGGTGGAACATGAATAGGAACCACGTTGTTGCTTGGAGACATGTCATTTTCACGTCTGTCTGACATTTGCTTCTGAGAAACAATGCGATAGATCTCTGGATGACAAAAGAAACGGAAACACTTAGTGTGTGTAAACCCACGAAGAGTTTATGTGAAAGAGATGAAGACATGCAGAACAGAAAACACACATTTACATTTTATTTTTAGGCCAGGCATGGTAGTGCACATCTGTGATCCCAACACTTGGGAGGTGGAGGCAGGAGAATTAGGAGTAGAAGACCAACCCCGGCTACATAGCAAGTTCAAGGACAGCCTGGCTACAGGAGACCTTGTCTCAAAAAGTAAGATTTTAGTTTCAAATAGCCACTAGCTAGAGTCAAAGCATTATTTTTAACAATTTCTGTTACAGTAAGAAAAGTAACAAGGTTTCTCCATTTCAGAGGGGAAAGTTCACCCATTAATTAAACAGTACCACATTAGACGGTGCCATATTTATGGGTATAGATCTGAATTAAATCGTAAAAATAATGGGGTTGGGGATTTAGCTCAGTGGTAGAGCGCTTGCCTAGCAAGCACAAGGTCCTGGGTTCGATCCTCAGCTCCAAAAAAAAAAAAACTCATAAAAATATATACTTAGCCCTCCACAAAAAGTCCACACAAACTGACAATGTGTAAAATAAATCTGCACTATCAGATACACCTAACTGTTTTCTAGGTTCTGTAGGGAAGAACACAATTTCTCAAACACAGTAAAATCCCAAGAACTTCAGAAGAGAAAGGGCCCTCTGCTTACACTGTCCTCCTCTGGGACTAAGGTTAAATTATACTTACTTATTCAAAGGAGATAATCTAAGATGTACATGTACTATTTTACTTTCATGACATATATCAAGATTAATCTTGTAGTCCTCCACTAAACATTAGTCTTTTAAAGACTAAAATTATTTGCTTCATTTTTGCTTTAGTAACATAGAACAGACGCTTGAAGAACTACTTGCACAAGTAAACATCGCTGAATATCTCCCAGTATCTGTACTGAATTCACTGAAAGTGGCCTTGCACTGCACTACCTAATCAAACAACAATATACTTCTCAAGAACAGAGAACACAGGCTTCCATATTGCCTTTCCAGTGTTCTTTCTAAAGCAATAACATCACAAGGTAGGGAACTCTAGAAAACAGGCAATCCAACAGGATGTACAAGAAGAACATAATGTACTCCTATGTGGGCTCCATGTGTCACTGACAAACCTGCTCTCGGTGAATTTGCTCGTGCAGAAATAGAACAGATACAGAATCAGAGGAGTATAAATTTTCTATCTATGCTACCCAATACAGTAGCTAACTATTTAAATAAAAATTAAAATCCATAGCTAAGCATGGGGACACAAGCTTTTAATCCCAACACTCAGGAGACAGGCAGGCAGATCTCTGTGAACTCAAAGCCAGCCTGGTCTACATAGTAAATACCAGGTCAGTCAGGGCTACATAGTGAGATTTGTCATTAAAAACATCAAAAGGCGTCGGGCGGTGATGGCGCACGCCTTTAATGCCAGCACTCGGGAGGCAGAGCCAGGCGGATCTCTGTGAGTTAAAGGCCAGCCTGGGCTACCAAGTGAGTTCCAGGAGAGGCGCAAAGCTACACAGAGAAACCCTGTCTCAAAAAACCAAAAAAAAAAAAAAAAAAAAAAAAAAAAAATCAAAAGGCAATTCTATAAAGGATATTATTAATAAACGGGAAAATTTGAATAATAAATCTGAAAATAAGAACTGCACACTAGAAATACTATAGACATACCAAATTTTTTAGACCTACAGTCATATGACTATGTAGGACCATGCTTTGCTCAATTATAGCCAGGCGGTGGTGGAGCACACCTTTAACCCCAGCACTCAGGAGGCATGTCTCGAAAAACCAAAAAAAAAAAAAAAAAGAAAAAAGAAAAAGTATAAAATTACGCAGGCAGTGGTGGTGCACGCCTTTAATCCCAGCACTCGGGAGGCAGAGGCAGGCAGATCTTTGTGGTCTACAGAGCGAGATCCAGGAAAGGCATAAAGCTACACACAGAAACCCTGTCCCGAAAAACAAACAAACAAACAAAAAGTATAAAATTACACAGTAAAAAACAGAAAATAGAGATATATGCTCAAAATGTTCCAAAAAGGTTGGGTGTGGTCACGCACGCCTTTAATCTCAGCACTTGGGGGACAGAGGCAGGTGGATGTTTGTCTGTGAGATAAAGGCCAGCCTGGTCAGCATAATGAGTTCCAGGACCGCCAGAGCTATGTAGAGAAACCCTTCTCAAAACAAGTTCCAAAAACACATCAACCAACTATAATGTATAAACATTATCTGGATCCTAATTTAAACTGCAATTTTTAAAAACTCTTGAGTATATTTAATATTGTTTAGATAAATAGTAATAAGAAATTACTACAAATTTTAAAGTAGTTGTGTTATGAATTTAAGTTACAATTTTTAGATGCGTACTCTGAAATATTTGCAAATGAAATGACTTATTATCTCGGATTTATTTCAAAGTAATAAAAATAGTCATAGGTCAGGAATTGACACTAAAGGTTACTAAAATGGACTAGTATGATCTATTCTGCTTTAGGTAAGCTGGAAGCGTACTTACTGCTCTTTCAGAGCCTGGGTTTAGTTCTCAGCACCCACATGGTGGCTAACAACCATCTGTAACTGCAGTTTCACAGGATTTAATGCCCTTTTCTGACCTCCATGCACACTAGGCACACATGTAGTACACACACATATCCATAAAGGAAAGCATTCATACACATAAATTAAAATAAATATATCTCTAAAAAAATCAGTTCCCCTACGGTTGAGCAACAGTAACTTAAAAAATGAGACTGGAGAGATGGCTCAGTGGTTAGGAGAACCCACTGCTCTTCCAGAGTACCTGAGTTCAATTAATAGTACCCATGTCAAGTGTCTTACAACTGGTCCTAATTCCAGCTCCAGGAGCATCTGACTCTTCTGGTCTCTTTCATCGATCGCCCCCAGACATGGGGCATACACTCAAAAACAAACACACACACACACACACACACACACACACACACACATTAATATATAAACTAACAACACTCACCAAAAATGTGCCTTTTGTATGGTTTTTTAGGGAAGTAGCTAAAATTTGTCTGAGAAGGTTGGTAGTGGTTCAAAGGTGAAGAAGCATTAGTAGAGAAAGAATACAATAAAGTTTAAAAATATGAACACAAAGGGTATGGTGTTGCCGGATCTTTCATTCAGAGGAGATAGGGATGGCCATTGAGATGGTCCAGTGGATAAAGGCACTTGTTCCTAACCTTGACAACTTGAGTACAATCCCCAAAAGCTCTGTGTTAAAAGAAGAGAGCCTAACTCCTGAAGGTTGTCTTCTGACCTTCACTCTCATACTGTGGCACTCAATGAGCCCCACCACAACACAAAACAAATATTTTAAAAATTGTTTTAAAAGAAAAAAAGCTAGATGTGGTGGCACATGCATCTTTAATCTCAGTGCTTGAGAAGCAGAGGCAAAAGGTACCTAAAGATCTCTGTGAGTCTGAGACCAACCCAATCTACATAGTGAGTTCTAGGACAACCAGAGCTACACAATGATACACTATCTCAAAGAAGAAGAGGGGATAGGGTTGGGGGTAGGAAGAGGGAGGCAGGAAGAGAGAGAGAGGAATGGAAGAAGGAAAGAGAAAAAAGAATGGAATGGGAATGCGTCCAGGACAAAGAAAGAGTTCCCTTCAGGCTAGTGACTAAGGAATAATGATAATGATCAACTTGTGGTTAAACTATACCATTCATTCTTTATGTTGTCCACTAATACCTAACTGGATAGACCATCTTTTTGAAGAGAAAATCATTAAATATGTGATCTCTGTTAAAATTCAACTTCTTTACAAGCTGTTCTAAAGACTAAGTTAAGGGAACAAAAGCAAAACATCAGAAATGCCTCCATGAATTACAAATGCATACAACACCAGAGAGAGACAAAGGCAGACTTCTTAGAGGACAGAGAAGTAAATAATTAAAGAGAGCTCATTACAAAGCAAGAAACTTGAGCAGTGCTGTGCAACAGTCTCAACATTCTTCTAGAAATGGTAACTAACACTGCTGTGTATACTCCTGTCACTAAAAACATATCCACTTTTGAAAAATACCAACAAGGCAATAAACAAAACGAATCAGGAAAAAATGTCTTCAAGTCTAAACAGTTTCAAAGAGCTCCACAAGTAATTTCCTTAAGTCTCTTGTGTCGGGTGTGCCATTTTCTAGGATAAGAAAACAGTAACCAGGAACTGTCCAGCAGGGACCTGATTATAGAGTTATTTCATGGTGGGGGAGGGGTCAGGAATATGCCAAGTCAGAAGCAGGTTCTATACATCCTTCAAGGGTCTGTTCTCCTTTAGAACCAAATGAACATGTTAGTTAATTTCCATGCAGTCTCTTTTCAAGATGTCCAAAGGTTAGGAACTACTAGGAAAAATCAATCCTGCTTTTTCTTCCATCAGAATCTCTTATAGGAGATCTAAACATAAAGTCAAATACTAATATATTATGGCTTTAAATATAAGGCAAAGCTACCTAAAAAGACATGAGGTCTTTTTTTTAATCTACTGGAACTGTGGAACAACTGGGAAAATAATTCTAAGGAGATTACACACAACTGTTCCAAACTAAGGAACACTAGGGTTAAAATCTGTTCGCTCGATAGGGGCTGGAGAGACAGCTCAGAGGTAAAGAGCACTGGCTGCTCTTGCAGAAGACCCTGTTCTATTCCCAGCGCTCACAAGGCAGCTAGCTCACAACCACCTATAACTGCACTTCCAGGAGATCTGACACCCTCTTCGGATCTCCTCAGGCATGCGGTTACACACACTCAGGTGTACATACACATAAAATAGTTTTTAGAAAATTCTTTAGTTCCTCTAAAGTTTTTTAAAACCCAGGAGCCTGGGTAATTTCACAACAGTCTCTGCAGAAGCTTCTCATTTATTAAGTTCTTCAAATCTCCTGCTTATCATGTCTGTTTCTTGAAGATCAAAAAGATTCCAATTTGAGATAGCCGGACATTTTCTGCACCAAGTGAGAACAAAGTTACCTTTACCTCTAATGAAAAGAGAATCATTACTTGGCTGGCAAGATGGCTGAGTGAGTAAAGGTGACCCGCATTTCACCCCTGGGAACCATATGGTAGAAGGAAAGAACTGACGCCTGCATTTGTCCTCTGACCTCAACTCTTGTGCCACATACATATTCACACACAAGCACACAAAAATAAAATATAATTTAAAAATTCTTTAACGATTCTCTATGTTCTGATGAAGTTAATACCTGGGCACTTTTGCCCCTTCATTTCTCTTTTATTTTTGAGACAGGATCTTGTTATACGGCCCATGATAATCTTACACACATACAGCCCCCACGTGCCAATATAGGCATGCACCACCAAACTGGCTTTAGCTTTGTTTTAAAGAGCCAGTATGTTACATGAATTAAAGTTATTTCAGTCACAGAATTAAGAGTTTAGCCTTCAAATTAGGAATTTACTTTGAACTTACTAATTACATGGAGAAACAGCACCTGAACTAAAGTTCAAAGTTAGAACTACCAATAATAAGACAAACCTATTATCACGAGCCTCCTAATGATGAATTGAAGCCACTTGTGTGGTGTTCCTGCCACAAGCTGTACACCTCAGTTTAATCCTAAAGAATCACTGAATAAACTCAAACTGAGAAAATGACAACTAACCTGAACCTTTCCAAAATGCTAAGGCTGGTAAACAAAGGAAAACTGAAGGAACTATTGTCAAGCAGTGATAGGACAGCTGAGTGGAACATATGATCTGATCCCAGACTTTTTTTTTTTTAACTAATAAAGTCTTTATTGGAACAACTGGCAAAATATGAGTAAGGTCTGTAGCTAAAGACTGATGTGACTAAATCACTGTGCTGTGGTTATAAAAGAGAAAGTACTCATTTTTAGTAAATACCTCCCCGCCAAAAGACTTAGGGATAGATATGTACAGCACTTACTCTCACATTGTACTTTATGTGCCTGTGTGTGTGTGTGTGTGTGTGTGTGTGTGTGTAGGGGAGAAGGGACGAGGTAAATGGAAAGAAAAAAAAAACACTTAACACTTAAGGAAATGGGGTACAGGTACTCACAAATTCTTTTTATTATTGTAAGTTTTTTTTTTTTTTGGTTTTTTTCGAGACAGGGTTTCTCTGTGTAGCTTTGCGCCTTTCCTGGAACTCACTTGGTAGCCCAGGCTGGCCTCGAACTCACAGAGATCCGCCTGGCTCTGCCTCCCGAGTGCTGGGATTAAAGGCGTGCGTCACCACCGCCCGGCTATTATTGTAAGTTTTAATCACCTCTGAAATTGTCAAAATATAAAGTTAAAATGAAAAGAGGGTATGGAAAACAGTCGTTAAAACCCTCTCTTAGGGATGAAGCCCAGCTGGTACAGTGTTTACCTGGCATGCTCAAGATAGAGTTGGATCCCTAGCAGCATGCCCCTGCCTGACCCAATCTCCTAGTGAACTTGAGGCAGAAAGAACAAAGCTGAACTGAAAGGCAGAGTGGAGCAATCCATCAGTCCACCTTGGCACTAGTCAACGACTTCTAAAAGCACCACCAGAAAACCCATCTCTTGGAATCACAGAGGAGTAAGGGATGTAAAGAAAGTGTGGATCTATTGCAAAACATTGCCAATACTATGTAATTTTATATTTGGCTCAGTGGATAAATGTACCTGCCAGCAAGTCTAAGATGACCCAAATGCTATAAGGAGCTGTCCTCTGACCACCACATGAACATACGATGACCCTACCCCTGATATGAATGAATAAGATTTAATTTTTAAAAAGTTAAAAATTGGCCGGGCGGTGGTGGCACACGCCTTTAATCCCAGCACTCAGGAAGCAGAGCCAGGTGGATCTCTGTGAGTTTGAGGCCAGCCTGATCTACAAAGCGAGATCCAGGACAGGCACCAAAGCTACACAGAGAGACCCTGTCTCGAAAAACTAAAAAGTTAAAAATTAAGCCAGGTGTAGGAGCATATGCTTTTAATCTCAGCACTTCCAAGGCAGAGACAGGTGGATCTCTACAAGTTCAAGGCTAGCCTGGCCTACAACATGGAAAAGCAAAGACAAAGAAAGTAGGACTTGAAGGCATACTGTGTATTCAATAAATATTGAAAGCTTAAAACAATCTGCAGTGAGATCACTTAGAACAGATTTTTTTAAAAAGCTTCTGTGCTGTGTGCCACCAACTGTCTTATTTCCCTCCAGCTCCCTACTGACTGTTCTTCAGATAACAAAAAACAATTTTATGATATGGTGGCACATGCATTTAATCCAGCACTCTGCAGGCAGAGGCAGGTGGATCTCTGAATTTGAGGCCAGCCTAGTTTACCAAATGAGTTTCAGGACAGTCAGGGCTAGAGAAACCCTGTCTCAAAATAAATAAATAAAATTAATAAAATATTTGCAAATCTCCAATATCTGTATTATTTTAACAACTTTTCTTTTTCATGCCTTAACTGCTACCTAGGTAGTGATTTATCAAATGTTCACTATCAAGAATAGCTAAACCCTTGACAGGCATTAACTCATTTTTGGAAACTATAGCAGAAGTACCAATGACATATCATTCTTTTCTGTGGAGTAAAGATAAAAACAAACAACACAACAACAAATCCTTCAGGTAGCAATAACAAGTTAAATTGTGCCTTATCAAATCATACTGCAGAAATTTAAAAGCATAAGCTCTCTCATGAAACTAATAACTAACCAAAATGTATTTGAAACTTTTTTTAGATTTCTTAAATTATGTGTATATGTGTATGTCTATGTGTGTGTTCATGCTCATGTATGTGCAGGCATTCTCAGAGGCCAGAGGAGGGTGTCAGATCCTCTGGCACTGGAGTTACAGGTGGTTATAAGCAGCTTGGCATGAGTACTGGAAACCAAACTCTGGTCCTCTGGAAGAACAGTATGTATTCATAACTACTGAGCTATTTTTCTCCAGTCCACCATATCTGAATTTTACAGATGGAGAAATTAAAGCCTTTGAAGGAGTAAATAACTTGCTTAATAAGATTATCGCTCCAAAAATAAGTGGAGGAATCAGGCTTCCCAGTCCATGATCAAAATTCCTAGGCTTATTACATACATTTTTTTTTTAACAATGAGAATGCTTTAAAGTTAAAATTCTGCTCACCTCTAATACAAGAGCTACATATAGCATTAAAATGTGTTACATTATAATGGGAAACTAAATAATTCTATGTATCAATTTATCAGACCAGCACATAAGACTCTACTATGTGTTGAATAGATTAGGATTCATAAGATCTTAAAAGTAACACATAATATAGGTGTCTTGACACCTTGTTTCCTTGGTGGGAGGTCTGTGGTTGCCCTGTCCCCATGTGTAAGGATCAAGGGAACTGATAACCTTCATCCAGTACTGATGGAAGCAGATGCAGAGATCCACAACTAAGCACTGGGTGGAGCTCGTGGAGTCCAGTTGAAGCAAAGGAGAAGAGATTATATGAGCAAAGGGGACAAGATCATGATGGGGAAACCCCACAGAGACCTGAGCTAATGGGAGCTCACTGACTCTGGACTGACAGCTGGGGAACCTGCATGGAACCGAACTAGGCCCTCTGAATGTAGGTGACAGTTGTGTAACTTGGGCAGTTTATGGGGCCACTGGCAGTAGGACCAGGATTTATCCTTTGTGCATGAATTGGCCTTTTGGAGCCCATTCCCCATGAAGGGATGCCTTGCTCAGCCTTGATGCAGCAGAGAGGGGCTTGGCCCTGCCTCACCTTGCTATGGCAGACTTCCTTGACTCCCCATGGGAGTCAAGGACTGGATAGGGGGTTGGGTGGAAGAAAGATGGAGGGTGGGTGGAAGCATCGCGGGGAGAGGGAACTGTGGTTGGTATCTAATGTGAAAAAAAAAAAAAAACTTTTAAATAAAAAAAAAATAAAAAGATAAAAAAAATATAGGTGTCTTGAAAAACAACCTATGAAAGTACTTCCTAAGAGATTAAATGTACTGATAATCTGGTTATTCTAATAAAGCCAAAGTAAATATGAGTCAGCACAAATAAAATGTCTTCTTTCCCAAGAAGCTGACCTGGTTATCTACATTCCAAAAATAGCATGAACTTTTGTCCCTTTCCCATTACTCATTTAGACCTTTCTATATGCAGGCTTGGCTAATTTTATTTACAAAGGACACACTCCTATATCATGGAAAAAGTATTTGTGCTTTTTTTTCCACTTAAATTTTTTGATGTAATTTCCCTAGTTTTTTCTAATTTCTTTTCTTTTTTATGTGTGTGTGTGTGTGTGTGTGTGTGTGTGTGTGTGTGTGTGTGTGTGTGTGCAGGTACCAGCATCAGATCCCCTGAAGCTAGAGTTAAAGGCAGTTGTGAGCCACTCCATATGGGTGCTGGGAACACAAATCAGTGGCTCTGGAAGAACAGTAAGTACCCTAAATTTTTATCTAATCAAAAGGCATTTATATTGCTCTATAGTCAGGATCTCAATATTTACGTAACTATGAAAAAATATAACTCTGTCCCTTTGACTATGCAATATAGAATACATGGCCTGAACACAAGGAAGTGAACAAATTACTTTCAAAGAATTTTTTCCTAGATGAATTCAGTGACTGCAGCGTAACATGCAGCATTGTATTGTAACTGTGCACACCAAGGAACTCTTGCTATAGTTACTCTCATTTTCAGACAGCTAACAGTTTCCTAATTAACTTGTTAAAATCACTTCCTAAAACTCCAGTTTCCTCTGGTGTAACCTGGAAGTCTTACCTGTCAGAATTGTCTGAAAAGCAGCTTCAACGTTTGTAGAATCTAGAGCAGATGTCTCAATGAACGACAAACCATTCTTCTCTGTGGAGAGAAACATTCAGTCTTGTGAAATTTGATTGCTGTTAAGAGTTGATGATCCAATCCAGGGCCTCACCAATGCTAGGTAAGCCCTCTACCACTGAGCTATCTTCTCAACCTCTGCAGGTTTAAAATAGCAAATGTGATAAGTTCATGATCACAAGGGGAAGAGAAAAGATTAAGACCTTGCTGGGCATGGAGGTGCATGTCTGTCACCCAGTACCTGAGAGGTAGAAACAGGACCAGGAAATCAAGACCAGCCTGGACTACATGAGAAAGTGTCCCCAAACACCAAACAAACAAAGCCTACTTACACCTCAGTAAATTAAAAATAACAGTAAGAAATTTTCATTAGCTTCTAAGTATTGCTGCATATAAATACCACCACTGGCAATGAATGAAACTATTCAAAATATAGTATCAAACACCCCACTACTTCTACCCCTAACCATCTTCCCTAGCAACTACATAACTAGCAGCATGTTCACTTAGAATTCTGTTACTATACTATTTGAAATTTAAAGTTAGAGGAAAGTATTCACTAATACAATGTCAAGACTTCCTAGCCAGCACAGTGCCGCTTTCTTTGGTAGTTTCTCCTACCAGAAGGGCAACAAGAAACAAGCAGATCCTGTATGAAGCCCAAAGTGTTCAGCTTCTAAGTAGGTGCATCCTTGTCGGTCCCTGACACCCCTTGGCAGACTGCTTTTCAGACTCACATAGAACAGCCTTGTTAAAGAACAGAGGCGTAATGTTCAAACAGAAACGCAGAAGCACTGTAATATTGTGGAGTTCACATTACTAACCTGCAAAAGCTCTTGCTTCATCGGTAGGAACTGCCCTGAGATGGCGTAAATCACTCTTATTGCCCACAAGCATGATAACAATGTTGCTATCAGCATGGTCTCTCAGTTCTTTCAGCCATCGCTCTACATTTTCATATGTGAGATGCTTAGCAATGTCATAAACCAATAAGGCACCTACTGCTCCACGATAGTATCTGCAAACAGAAACATTTGTAACTATCAGAAGACAATCACAAAGTACAAGGGAACACCAGAAAAAACTCTAAACAGGGACAGGGCGGAAAGATGGCTCTGGTAAAGCACTTGCCATCCAAACATGAGGACCTGAGTTAAAATCCCCAGAACCCATGTAAAAGCTGAGGACAGTAATCCTGGTCCTCCTACAGTGAGATGTGGGGCTGGAACAGGAAAATCCCCAGAAGTTCACATGCCACGTACCCTGGCATAAACAGCAGTGAACAACAAATACTGCATGTCTCAAACAAGGTAGAAGGTGAGGACCAACACCCAAGGTCGTCCTCTGACCTCTACACACACAGCAATAATATAGATATGTACACACTAACATACACACCCCATACGCTCACACACACATGCATGGACAGACAGACAGACACACACACACACACACACAGAAACTATTTATAGATGTGGTAGACAGTAGTTGTCCGTTACATGAGGTTTTATACCTAGTCATCCACAGTCCAAAACTATTAAATGAAAAATTCCAGAAATAGATAATTCCTAAGTTTTAAATTGCCACCATTTTAAGTATTGTGATAGAACTTCCCAGTGCTGTACTTCACCAGGCACATGACTCATCCTTTTGTCCAATGTACCCACAGTGTATAAACTACCTACCTGTTAAAGTCACTTTGCAGCCCTCCCATTGCCTATGATCTTCCTTTTGTTCAAGTAACCCTTAGTTTATTGAATAATGGCCCCCCCAAAGCAACTAAGGCATGCCAAAAGAAAAGCTACAAAGGTTCTATTAAGAGGAAAGATAGGGAGCTGGAGAGATGGCTCAACAGTTAAGAGCACTGGCTGCTCTTGCAGAGGACCTGGGTTTATTTCCCAGCACCCACATGGTGGTTTCACAACCATCTGTAACTTCACTTTCAGGGGATCTGATACCATCTTCCTACCTCCACAGGCACCAAGCACACATGTGGTACACATACATATATGCAGGCAAACCACGAATAAAAATAAAGTGAATTAAAACAAAAACACAAGTGGAAACATTCAGAGTTCAGCACTGTTTGTGGTTGTAGGCATCTACAGAGGGTCTTGGAACACACCTTCCAAGGTTAAGGGAGGACTACTGTGCCTTCCCAATACTTAAAGTCAGCAATTCACCTGATACCAACCTATGCCAGAACTGAGAAACCATGGACTTACGCAGATGTTATAGCCCTGTATCGCTCCTGCCCTGCTGTGTCCCATATCTGTGCCTTTATTGTCTTCCCATCAACCTGGATGCTTCTCGTTGCAAACTCTACTCCAATGGTACTCTTGCTTTCCAGGTTGAACTCATTTCGAGTAAATCGAGACAGGAGGTTACTCTTTCCAACACCAGAATCGCCAATAAGGACAACTGAAAAGACAAAAAATTAATATATGCTGGATGAAAGCAAGCACATTCAGAATACCAACACGCTTTTAATAGAAGGACGTCTGGCTTCAAAATAAATACAACCAAGGTTTTTAAAGAGGCATACATAGTACTAAATAGCATTTATCTATGACCAATCAATTAAAATCCATTTACTTTTTAATCTATCTCTATCTGCATAAGGACTTCCACATATCATCTACTCAGCATAGATCAGACAGAGCACCCCATCTAAAAGAATGCCTCTTTTTGTCCTATTTGGGAACTCAAACCCAGGGCCTTACACATGTATGGTAAACACCAGACCACTGATATATATCCCCAGCCCTTAAAAATGCAATTTTGCAATTTTAATCATAGGGTAACCTAGCCACAGATGCAAGCATTAATTACCTTAAATTTATACCAACCTCACTTCCTCAGAAAGTATTCTAAAAGGTAAATAACAACTTGTGTTATTCTCATGTTTTAGACATCAAACAAAAAATGTCAGGGCATGGAGTGGGAAACTGTACATTCTACTAGCTTCATTAAAGACTAGGTGTGATGTGAAAGCTGAAACACATTTAAAACATGAGGCATGTGACTTACAAGCACTGCTCTGGTCATAGAAACTATAATCATCTTTAATAGTTACACTTTACAGACTGGAAGAAAGCCACAGGGGTGCCCCACCTCACTATGGACAAACAGGAGCCCTAGGAAGCTAACAATTCTGACATACTGAGTCAAAGCCAAAGCAAGGAGGGCAAACACTTTCACTTAGGACTCTATAAAAAATCTAAAAACAAGTTTTGATTATACTCACTTCCTATGAGTAGAAGGCAGTTTACTAACTTCTCCTGAAAATGTTACTATACTTTTAAAATATTCCAATAGGGCTAGTGAGTGACTTAGCAAGTAAAGACACTTGCTGCCAACCTGGACTACAGAGTTCTATTTCTAGGACCCACATGGTGGAAGAGAGCCTACTCCTAAAGTTGTCCTCTGATCACATGTGTGCAGAGCTCACACATGAACAATTAATACAATTTTCCATGTATAAACATAAGTCTGTATGTATGCTATGTGTATGTGTATGGGGGGGGGGTTGCCCGGGGGACAGAAGAGATCTGCAGTAGGAAATAGCCAAATATAGGTGCTGCGAAAGGAACTGGGTCCTCTATAGTAGCAGCCTGTTCTTAACCACTAAACCACCTCTCCAGTCCCAATAAATGTAATTAAGACAATTTTTAAAAAAAAGTCAGGTGGTGGTGGCACACGCCTTTAATCCCAGCACTCGGAGAGGCAGAGCCAGGTGGATCTCTGTGAGTTCGAGGCCAGCCTGGTCTTCAGAGCGAGATCCAGGACTGGCTCCAAAGCTACACAGAGAAACCCTGTCTCGAAAAACCAAATGAATGAATGAATGAATAAGTAAATAAATAAATGGATGGATGGATGGATGAATGAATGAATGAAGAGTTTCTTGGGGGCGGGGGGGGGGGGGGGGGGCCCTAGAGAAATGACTCAATGGTGAAGAGCACAGGCTGTTCTTCCCAAGGATCCAGGTTTGATTCCTAGCACTCACATGGTAGCTTACAACCCTTAACTACAGACGACAGTTTGTAATTCCAGCTCAAGGATCTAATACCCTCTTCTGGCCTCTGTTGATACTGTACACAAGTTCACAGACATACATGAATGTCAAACGACTCACACACATAAAATTATAAAATAAAATAAAAAATTTCAGAGCTAGGCATGGTACACTCCTTTAATCCCAGCATTGAGAAGGCAGAGGCAGGCAAATACCTGTGTGTTCGAGGCCAATCTGGTCTACATAGAGTTTCACACCAGCCAGGGCTACATAGTGAGACTCTGTATCAAAACAAACAAACAGGGGCTGGAGAGATGGCTCAGAGGTTAAGAGCACTGCTTGTTCTTCCAAAGGTCCTGAGTTCAATTCCCAGCAACCACATGGTGGCTTACAACCATCTGTAATGAGATCTGGTGCCCTCTTCTGGCCTGCAGGGATATGTGCAGGCAGAACACTGTATCCATAATAAATAAATCAATCTTTGAAAAAAAAAATACGAAAACAGGAAGTTGAGAAACAAGTCCCTGTATCAAAACAAACAAACAAAAAAAGGAAACAGTAAACTGAGAAACAAGTTGAATTATTTGTTTTAAGAGAGGTCTTGGCAGTGGCAGGAGGAATCTCTGAATTCAAGGCCAGCCTGGTCTATAGAGAGTTCCATGTCTTTTAAAAAAAAAGAGAGAGAGAGAGAGAGAGAGAGAGAGAGAGAGAGAGAGAGAGAGAGAGAGAGAGAGAGAGAGAGAGAGAGAGAGAGAGAGAGAGAGAGAGAGAAGAAAGAAAAGAAGTTGGCAAGAGATAGCTCAGTGGTTAAGAGCACTGACCACTCTTCCAGAGGACCCAGGTTCAACTCCCAGCACTACATGGCAGCTCACAACTGTCTGTAACTCCTGTTCCAGGAGATCCAACACCTCACAGACATGCATGCAGGCAAAACACTAATGCACATAAAGTAAAAATAAATTATTTTTAAAAAAGGGAGAGAGGGTCTCATTCTGGAACCAAGATTGGTCTAGAACTCACAAAATCCTCTTGCTGAGAGTACAGGTGTGTGCCAACATGCCCAACTTCAGACAAGTTGTATTAAAATATGAGTTTCAAGATCAAAATAGGGAGGCAGTGGTGGTGCACACCTTTAATCTCAGCACCCAGGAGGCAGAGGAAGGTAGATTTCCAAGTTCAACCTGGTCTACAGAGAAAGTTACAGGACAGCCAAGGCTACACAGAAAAATGCTGTCTCGAAAAAACAAAAAAGATCAAAATGGGTTTGTAGGTTTACAGAATCTGAGCTAGACAATATTTTTTTCCTGCATAAAACTTTTGTTGGTATTTTAGTGACCACTGTATTTATTTCAACTGTTGACTAGTAATGCTTATAAACTAGATGATTGATTTAGACATCAGACTAGAAAATCAACACAAAAGGTTAAGGCCAGGAAATAAGAAGCCATGCTTTACTCAAAAGACTGAGATTTGATGGTGCGTGTAGAAAGAAGGCTCGCCTGACTGCACTCTAGCCAAAAGAGTAAGAAAGCCTTTCTTGTCACAGAAGTAGACGGCCTACAACAACTGTGCATTATCAAACGCATATCTTTCTGGCTTCCTCTATCAGCTAATTCAGCAAGAAATCCCAGCAGCAGTGATTCCATGCAGCAAAGAGAAGTTATTTCTATATTTGTAGTCAATTAGAGGGTGCCCTAGCAAACAGACATTAAATGCTTTTACTGGATACCAGGGAAAATAATGTCAAGGTCATGAAGACAGAAACAATGCACTTTCAATGTTACAGAATGGTTGGTTAGTAGGCTGGTTTCCAAACTCCACCACTGACCACTGTAGATGAAGATGTGAAGCTGAATTTCAGTTACATTAATAGAGCCTCCCTATTAATAAGATACCTTCACTGCTGTTTCTTAGTATAAGAGGCTTAATGGTGGGGTGGGGTGGAAGTTAGGGTCCCAGCCAAGAACCTAGCCTGGGCTTTAGCCAAAATTCCCAACACCTTTCCTGAATAGCAATCCTTCAGCCACTCCAAGAGTAAAGAAACTTAGGCTCAGCAGGTAAAGGCACTTGCTGCCAAGCCTAAAGACCTAAATTCAATCCCATGAACCCACAGAGTGGAGAAGAGAGAATCAACTCCTTCAACTGTCTTAGGCATTTCTATACACACACACTATGGCATGAGCCCCACACACCACCAAAACATACACATACATACACACACACACACACAATGCATGTATGTTTTAAAAGGAGGCTGGATAACCAGCTGAGGAAATTTCCTTTGAATCACTTCTGGTCCCACACTAGCATCAACACTAACTAGAGGTATGTATAGTGAAGAAGGAAAAACCAAAGATTAGAACACATCTAATTAATTCACAGACACTCCCATTTCAACCAGTAATTCAGGAGCCAGTCACAATTTAAAGTCAAAGAGAACATATAAGCAGGCATCTGGCTAACACCACCTTTGGTAAGGAGCACGATCAAAAAACAATACAATATATGCCCCCCACAGAAGCTCCAGCAGTAGTTCATGTTTTGTTTTGTTTTAAAATATTAGCCCTTCTTGCATTTTTTTGTTTTTTGCTTTTTCTTTCTTATCTACTTTATGGATATAGATGTTTTGTCTGCATGCAAGTATGTACATAGCATGCATGCCTGTCATGTCACCTGCAACTGGGATTATGAATGGTTGTGAACCACCATGTGGTGTTGGGAATTAAACTCAGGTTCTCTGCAAGAGTAACAAGCGCTCTTAATTGCTGAGCCATATCATATCTGCAGGCCCCTGGTTCATGTTTTGACCTCTACTTTTAACTAATGACTAAATTTACCACCTCACCAACATCAAATCATTATATCATACTAAGTGAAGAATCCACCTCCTCATGTAACCAATTAATTTTATTATTTAAAAAGTAGCAATAACCAAAAAAAAAAAGGAGCAATAGTTTGTAAACAACTCACCATTCACAAACGCTCTAACACTATAAAATAGTTATACCAACTAGCTACTGACAAGATCTCCAAAGTTAAGACTAGTAACTTTGTCAAAGGAAAAGGATGTTTGAAATGACAAAAGACTTCAGTTTTGTGAGAATTAAAAAAAAGATATGGAAACGTGACATGATAAGGAGAGATGTTTCTATTTCCTAACCAAATGAGAAATCAAAACAAGGAGTGATCTATTTAGGCTCACTGGATGGATGGATGGATGGATGGATGGATGGATGGATGGATGGATGGATGGGTGGAGTGAATTATCTAACAAGAGAATTCACTGGTTATGATTTTAAAAAAAATTATGGACCTTCATTTGTGGACTCAAACAATTTCTAGTCAAAATACTTTCTCTCTTTAAAATGACAACATTTATTTTTTCCCCCAGTGGTGCTGGGGATCTAAACCTAGGGCTCATGCTAAGCACATGATTTACCACTGAATTATCTGTCACCAGCCTCTTGTTTTGTTTTGTTTTAAATGTAGGAAACTATATTCATAGCTAACAATTAAAGAAATCAATTTCTGGTCCAGCAAGATGGCTCAGCAGATAAAGGCACTTGCTGTCAACCCTGATGGTAGAAAGAGAAAACAGACTTCTGACCTCTACACACTCACTGTGGCACACCCCCCCCAACATACATATAAATAAATAAATGAATGAACAAATAAATAAATGCAATAAAATGTAAAGGAATTTTCAGTAATTTTATATAACCATTACTAAAATATCTTATGTTGAATGGACATATATTTAAGTATGCTACACTTTTATCAATCTATAGAGTACATACTAAACAACATGACTATAAGATAAATAACAGTATCTATACACCAAATATCAATATAATTCCTAAAATAATATACTGCCTCTCTAGAACTTAGATAACCTCATCTGCTGAAGCTCAATCTAATACCTAATATTAATTTGTTTACATACATGCTTTATATATTATACATACCACAAATATCAGACTGCTAAATACTGTAAAAGCAGAGTATATATATATATATATTAATTATCCATTATTTAATTTAAAGTTCCTATCTCTAACCACATTTAGGTATTTTTTATTGTTTTTGTTGTTTGTTATTTTCTGAGACAAGATCTAATTCTGTAGCCTAGGCTGATCTCAAATCATGGCTATCCACCTGCCTCAGCCTCCCAAGTCCTGGAATCACAGACATGAGCCTCCATGCTCAGTCCACATTTAATTTTATAATTCTTTTGTAAGCTCACTCACTGTTTAACTCCTCACCTCACATATAGAATATTGACTTTAAAACTTAACAACTGGGCCGGGCGGTGGTGGCGCACGCCTTTGATCCCAGCACTCGGGAGGCAGAGCCAGGCGGATCTCTGTGAGTTCGAGGCCAGCCTGGGCTACCAAGTGAGTTCCAGGAAAGGCACAAAGCTACACAGAGAAACCCTGTCTTGAAAAACCAAAAAAAAAAAAAAAAAAAAAAAAAAAAACTTAACAACTGAAATCACTAGCCATTTTCACATTGGTTTTAAAAAGCCTGGAAGTATTTCTACTCTCAACCCCATTCACAGTCCAACCTCACCAAGTCTTTTCGATAAAATGCAGCAATAATGCTGAAGTCTTGACACGTTTTTCCCAGTTCATCAGAATCTGAGTTGCTCAACCAAAAGTTGTGAAAGAAAAGCTACCAAGATTCAAGACGGGGATAGTCCTACTGATAATCAGCTGATGATTCATGACACCTGAACTTCAATGAGACTCAAAAGAAAAAGCTGGGAGAGGTAGACTATGCCCCCAGCTGCTTCCAGAAAGTGCCACTGACTGACTGTGCTGGGGTTCAACCATCTCAGTTGTGTCCCACAGCACCTTGCCCACACTGGGGTATGTACAAGACTAACATTTTTTTTAAATAATCATGCTTTTAACAAATAAAACAAACTCCCTAAGTCTCACTGCAAAGCATAAGTAAAAATTAATTTTCAGCCAGGCGGTGGTGGCACACACCTTTAATCCCAGCACTCAGGAGGCAGAGCAGGTGGATCTCTGTGAATTCAAAGCCAGCCTGGGCTACAGAGTGAGTTCCAGGAAAGGAACAAAGCTACACAGAGAAACCTTGTTTTGAAAAATAATAATAGTAATAATAATAAATTTTCAAGAACAAATACATGATTTAGAATTGTCCTTATCTGCCCACATTACATTCTCATTTAAACTACTCCATTCCATGCTGATAAACATGCCCTTCCAAGTTATATGTTGCAAACTTCAATTTCCTTAACTATCAAGTGTGCTAGATCTTCTCTAAAGTAGAAATGCTATGGTTCATCTTAGTGAATAAATCTCTATGGAATGAAATCATTTAAAAATAATCGTATAAGAAAAAAATTGGCTAAGTAATCAGTGTTGAAATAAAAAATAAAGTGACTCATATCCTGTAGCAGTTTCTAAAAAGTGGAAACTTCTCAGCAGCATTTTTTTAAACACCCAGTCTTATACAGCAAAATGCACAAAAGATAAAACCAGAACCCACGTAGATACAAAATAACTCAAAAGTTTCTTAGTTCTGTACTTCTTTATTAAAACTTACATGTTCTTGCCGGTGGTAGTAGCACACGCCTTTAATCCCAGCACTGGGGAGGCAGAGACAGGTGGATCTCTGTGAGTTCGAGGCCAGCCTGGTCAACAGAGCGAGTTCCAGGATGGGCTCCAGGACTACACAGAGAAACCCTGTCTCAAAAAAAACAAACAAACAAAAAAAGGTATCACAGTATTTCCTTTACTAGGGAAACTGAGGCTCAAAAAAGTTGAGCAGGGAGAAATGGGATGATTATATTATAATCTCAAATAATAAAAAAAATACTTTCAAAAAGTTAACTTTTTCAAGGTCACAAACCAAATATAAACCCCAGTGGTTTCTTGTTGTTTAAAGGATGGTCTAATCTCAAAATTAAACTTAAATTCCCTTCAGCCAATCTAGGATAAATCAACATTCTTAGGAAAAATAAACAGCTTTCTATAACCAACCTTCACATTTCAAGTCAAACAGGAGAAATAATTTCAAAAGAGGCTAAGTACTCACTGCTATTACGAAGTACTTAAAGATAAACCTCCCTTGACTGACTAAACCCCAAAGTCTCCTGGGATTTAAGTAATTTCACATCATGTCAGATGCCTTCAACAAACATTCTAGGTATCCTATTTGTTTTGAATTTTTGAGGCAGGGTCTCACTATGTAGACCAGGCTGGCCAGGAACTCACACAATCAGCTTCCCTCTGCCTCCCGAACGCTGGGATTTTAAAGGCGTACCACCACACCAGGCTTTCCTACTTGTATTTTTAAAGTTTGGTACCTTCTTATCTGTAAATTATTTTCCAATATGGTAGCAAGGGTAAACACTTAAGGTACTTATCTTAGAAACAGAATAATCGAAGGAGTAAATAATGGTAAGGGTGTACCAGCAGCTAAAGACTTGTAAAGTATTCGGAACGCCATAACACCAAAGAAACGTTTCCTGCTTCCCCAGTCAGCCACTCTTAGCACCCAATGGCAAAGCCAGAAACACTCACCATGCTTAACACTCTTGAAACTCCACCCTCCACAGTAAAGCTTTAATAGCAATGGCTTCTTCCTCTCTGGTAATGATCTTTGTTCAGCACACTACTGATGGCTGCCCTTCTAATTCAGGAGCAGAGCAAGACTATGAAAGTGAGAGCGCATTCATGAACAAAAAAGCGTTCACTGTACTCCTTTCACTGAGAACTGTATCCTTTCACTTCGGCTTTTTTTTTTTTTTTTTCTGGACCCAACCAATAAGCAATTCGCTATTCACTCCCCCCATCCTCCCAGGTTCTGTCCGCCCGCTTCACATTTTCCCCTACCTTGCAATAAATTTTCGATTCCACTAAAAGAGCACGCTCCCACTAGAACCCTCTCCCACAGACTGGGAAAGGTATGTGACCAACCAGGGCGCTTCCCTTCCTGTTGGATCCTCCCAGTATTGCAGCAGGAAGCAACCAGTCCATAGTGATAAGCTAGCCAGTATTTGTGCAGCGCACAACCTTTCCTGCTCAGGAACTGGGCCTTCAGGTCTGGCAGGGATAACAGCCACCACCCATCCGCAGCCCCTTCTCGAAAGACAAGTAAAGGAGCTATCCCGGTCTGGTTGTCGCTGGGCAGGGACGGGAGAAGGAAGCGGGTTAAAAAGGCGAGGTGGGAAGTCATCTGCCTGCCTGGACACTGCGACAAGTGCACGCACGCCGGGGGGTGACGGACAGCCCCTCTTGCCCTCCCTTGCTCTCCCTCCCACCAGCCAGGTCGCACCGGAGCACTAAACACGACGTGAAAAGGAAAGGCACAGAGTTGCCCGTCTGTGGGGAGGGAGAGGACAGTCCGCGGGAACTGACCTCGAGGTCTGCGGGGATGGGGGTGGGGGACCCTGGGACGGGCGAATCTGGCCGAAGCCCAGGAAAGGCTCACTCGGAAGGAAGGGGAAAGGAAACGAAAAGGAAAAAACAAACAAACAAACAAAAAAAAAAAAAAAACATAGAGAGAGTCGGAGCCCCAACATGGGTGCTGAGCCGAGGCAGGGGCCTGTCAGAGGGGGATGTGAGGCCGGCAGCGTGCATCCAAGAGGAGGGGCCCGAGATGCCCAGGGAAGCAACTGCACCGTCGTGAGGAACGCAGCCATCGGGGAAGACACACCAGCAAGGGGCGACGCGGCCCGGCAGCCCTCCCCGGGGCGCAGGAACCGCGACGACCGGCGGGACCCCCGACGGGGCGGCAGGGAGGAAGCGCCGAGGCGGGCTCGGTCCAGGGCAGGGCGAGCCCTCGCGCGGGTCCCCCGGGAGTGTCTCGGGCCCCGAGTGGGCACTCGGCGGCCCACGGGCTCACCTTTAAAGAGGTAGTCGTACTCGTCGTCGCGGGTGCCCATGGCGCGGCCGAGGAGCTGAGGGGCGGGAGCGGCGGTGGCGACAGCGGCGGGACCAGGGGGCGTCGCTGCAGAGGTAACCCGAGCGCCGAGCTTCAGCTGCCGGACCCGGTGAAGAGCCCCGCCCTGGCCCTGCGTCACTTCCGCCGAGCCCCAGCCCCTCACAGGAAGTACTTCCGGAGAAGCGGCGCCCCGCCCCTGAGCGGGCCGGGTGGAACACACTCTCATCCGGCATGGAAGGCTTACAGAAAAAACAGTCTTAAAACGCCCAGCCGGCCACAGTGGTCCGGGTCTCTGGCTTGTTCTCCCCTCAATCACGCAGGGAAGCGAGGCACAAGTCTCTCAGCGTTTGGTTTCCAGTTGGGGGTGAGATTTTGTCAGCATTAGACACCCGAAGAGAGGATAGCCTTTGTGCTGGTTCCATGGTGTAATGGTTAGCACTCTGGACTCTGAATCCAGCGATCCGAGTTCAAATCTCGGTGGAACCTGTTTCTTTAACCTTTTGTTCTTATATTTTCTAAATTCATATTGAATAATAGAATAACTTTGTTATATCTGCTCTTGGTTTGAATGACATAAAGTATTTACCTATGAAGACTTCACTAATGAATCTCTTCAGTTCAGTAGTGTCTGTTACTTGGAGACCTGGTAATAAAAACTCCTAATTCTTTTTTAGCCTTGGGGGAAACTTGTTACTTGATTCCCATTGCTGGAATTTTCTACCCTAAGCTTCAGTTAAGGATAGGCACTTCTCATCCACTCAGTCTCTTCAGAAATCTCTCACACTCTCTCCAGATGTCATTAAGAGAACTTCGCACACCCTCCTCATAAAGATTCATCAAGATCTTGAGTCCTATCTGCTGGCCTCCAAGCTAAGCCGGGTTAAATACAGTTAACACAAGAGGCTGGCAGTTTCCATCTTAGCAAATGTCAATGTTAAGACTCAAGAGATTTGCCATAGCGTCTCCTCATGGTTGTTTTGTTCTTATTGTTGAGGTAATCTCACTCCTCTCTGTAACCCAGGATGGCTTTGAAAATCACTATGTAGCCCAGGCTGGTGCTTCTGTCCTTCTCTGCCCCCTCCCACCCACCCTTCATACACACAGAGGGATATTCACCTAATAATTCCTGGACAATATATGTTAGGTCATGGGGAAAGAGAGTTTAACCTACAAGATGGAGTTCAAGTTGCTTATCAACTGACCTTAAGCAGGGATATTATCTTTGATAATCTGAGTAGGCTCAGGGTTGTCCTTGGTGTCTTCCAAAGTGGAAAAGAGGGTTGTCAGCAGGGATGAGGTACTCCTCTACGCTGCCGTCTGAGGAGAGGGACCTGGATTCAGGGGAAACCTGATTCTTGACTTTGCTGCAGAAACGCTTTTCAGGATGATAAAATGTAAAACAGAATCGGAATTTATTAAAAGAGATTTGAATACAGATTCTAAGTTCTATGGTTAAGAGGAAGTGAGGGCCTCAGAAAGAAAGACATGACCAAGAGTATGAGCTTTTCAGAGAGTCCTGCCTTGTCTTTATAGGCCCCATATGCACCAAGGGTTTCAAATCTATCATCTTCAAAGAGTTACTGAGGAATCTGAGACCCCAGATGGCTCCTACTTGATGAATAGGAACCTAATTGATAGGGTAAAATTCTGGGTCACAAGGAGACTTGCAGGGGAACTTAAGATGTTTCTACTGTAAACAAAGGTCTAATCTTGTTTGTGAGATTCAGAGGAAATATCTGGGAGAAGAGTCAGGCCATACTTGACGATCATAAAAGCTTAGTCCTTATTAGTTTATTGCTCTTTTAACATTCTCTATATAAATATGATGTTTTAAAGGCCATCACTAGGTCAGGTGTGGTTGCACATGTTTTTAATCCCATTTGGGAGGCAAAGGTAAATGTGAGTTCAAGGCCAGCCTGGTCTCCACAGTGAGTTCCAACTAGCCAGGGTTACAAAACACGAAAAACAAAACAAGGCCATTCCTACAGCTGGGGATGGTAGCACAACACCTGTGACCCCAGCACTCGTGGGGTAGAAGCAGGAGGATTGCAAGTTCTAGGCCAGTCTGGGATATATGTTTCAAAGGTGGTGGTGGTGGTGGTGGTGGTGGTGGTGGTGGTGGTGGTGGTGGTGGTGGTGGTGGTGGTGGTGGTGAAAATTTTTAAAGAGTCAGTATTCTTTCTTACTTTCTCTTTCAGTCTTTCTCTTAATAAATCTACATTCTCTCGACAATAATAATAAAGAATGTCATCTCCTGCATTGACAGCCTTCCCAGCAAATGTTAGTTGCATTGGAATTGTTCACTACTGACTGGGCAGAAAGACATCAATCAGACTCTAGAGTGGCGGTTCTTCTGCCTCCTGAAGTCCCCATCATTTTCCCTTTGTATCTTCCTCAGGCGTCATGTGCACAGTCACATGCCTATAATTCCAGCACTTGAGATAAGAGAATCAGGAGTTCAAGGTCACCTGGGCCACAGGAGACCTTGTCAAGAAGAGAGAGAGAGAGAGGGAGGGGGAGAAAGAGGAGAGAGGGAGACGCACAGAGGAGATGAGATTGAATTCTCAACTGGTCCCTGCTGGCTTTGAAGATGGAGGAAAGTAACCAGGAGTCTGAGGCTCCAGAGGCTTCTAGAAACTGAGAAAGGAACCCAAAGAGATTCTTCCCAAAGAAGAAACACAGCCCTTTCTACACCGTCCTTGATTTTAGCCCAACGGTGAGTTGATTTAAATCACCAAGCTCCTGACAATTAATTTCAGCGGGCATAGAAAATGAATACAATGACATTTCCAGGACTTTCTCTGCCAGGACAAAGGGACAGATTGACAGGCCTGGTGGTACACACCTGTAATGCCAGCACCTGGGAGATGGAGGCAAGATGACCAGGAGTTCAAATTCAGCCTAAGCTACACAAAACCCCAGCATTGTACGGGTGCTTAAATGGCTGCAAGTTTTTAAGATACCTGTACGTGACCAAAGATTATTATCAGACGGCCGTCTCGGTGCTGCTTACTGGAGAAGACGAGACAGGGTCACAGACGGGAAACTCAGTCACTGGGCATCGAGATGGAAGAGGCAAGGAAGGAAGCTCGTTTTGGGAAGTGGGGAAAATGTGACTGTGAGGGTGTGTTGAGTAAGGCCATGGACGCTGCCACAAGCTCTAAGCAAATTTTCCCCTTACGTCATTATTTCTCTGTGAATTCTGAGCAGGATGATGATAATGTTTTCTCAACAAAAACTTACATGATCAACTGCATCTTAGAGATTCCTTCAGCTCATGGGCAATTAAAAAATAAACATATATACGTATATATACACACACATATATACATATATATGTTTATTTTTTAATTTATATGTGTGTGTGTATATATATATATACATATATATATATTAGCAAGGCAGTTCCCAGATTCACCAGACCACAGAAAAAAAGTTCCAATGGACTAGTTAGCAGCCTTTAAACACTCTGAAAGAGTGCAAAATAGATCATTGGACAGAGGAGAGATTAGGTCTTCTGAAAGAGCAGCATGTGCTCTTATAACCACTGAGAGATCTCTCTACCTCTGGAACTTTATTTGGGTTTGTTGTTGTTGCTGTGGTATATTCATGTGTGTGTGTGCATGTGCGCGCGCTTGCTTTTGTTTGTTTTTGTTTGAAACAAGGTCTCTCTGAGTGACCCTGGTTGTGGAACTTTATTCTTAAAGTAAATAATACAGAAGTATAGACTAAAGCCTTTACATCTTCCTCCACTATTTCAGTTTCTCTCCAGACCCCAGAGATAACTAATTATTTATTTTCATTTCAACTTGAAATCCAGACAGATTTAACTAATTATCTGAATAGCTTTCCCTTAACAAAGATGTAAAATAGCTTGTCCAAACATTCTTACTCGCTTACTTGTAGACAGGAAAAGCAAGATCCTGAAGGCTAATTGAACTAAAGCTTGTTTATTTTCTTATTTATATAAAATCTCACATAGCCCAGACTAGTCTTGAACTCACAATGTAGTTAGTCAAGATGACCTTAAACTCCCGATCCTCCAATAGACTGCTGGGATCACAATCCTTCACGGTAGTTTTATGTGGCACTGGGGATCGAACCAGGGGCTTTGTGAGTACTAGACAAGCACTCTACAAATTGAGCTACATCCCCAGACTCTAAAACCTGTTTTGAATCCATTTTTCCCCATTCCTATCTCCCTACAGAGCCTGAAAAAAGCAATTATTTGTTTTCACAATTACCCTGTTAAAAGTGACCTTGTGGCCAGGCAGTGGTGGCTCATGCCTTTAATCCCAGCACTCGGGAGGCAGAGGCAGGTGAGTGAATCTCTGTGAGTTCGAGGTCAACCTGGTCTACAAAGTGAGTTCCAGGACAGGCTCCAAAAGCTACACAGAGAAACCCTGTCTTGAAAAAAAAAAGTGACCTTGTGGGACAATTTTAATGACATGAAGGCTCAATCCTAAGGCATCTAGGAAGGGTTTTGTTGATAAGAGAGGTGGGGGCTGCCCCTTGGCCCTGTCTTCCAGCTATAAACAGGATATGTCTCTACAGATGTGGCAGCTCCCTTCCCCCAAGAATACTAAGTCAAACATAATGCCATCATTTAAACTGTATACCAATACCAGTAGCTACTTGCTAGTCACCAACACTAAATCATAGCAATAGTTTTCATCTGTGCCTGTCTAATAGTTTGCCCACAAATTGCCACCTCTATGGTAACTAGCAAATATAAACATTTTCCCTATGTTTCTTAGCTATTTATGAGTTCTTCTGTAAATTGCCTGTTGATATCATTTGTTCCATTTTCAAATTGGATTTTCTTTTCTTATTGATGTGAAGGATATATATATATCTATATATATTCTAGCTATTTTCCTTTTTTGTTCCCTCTTAGATTTATTTTATTTTTTAGGGACTGGAGAGACGGCTCAATAGTTAAGAGCACTTGCTGTTTTTTAACCACTGAGCCATCAGGGTTTAGTTCCCAGCACCAACATGGCTGTTCACAAGTCTCTGTGAGTTCAGACAACCCTCTGTAACTGCAGTTCCAGAGGACCTAATGCCTTTGAGGTGCACAGATATGCAGGCTGGCAAAACATTCATGCACATAAAAATTAAAGTTAGT